AAGTCAAGGTTCTAGTGGAAGCTGTCGGGACTTATCGTTTAATCCTTGACACTAGATATCACTTAGACCTTATGAATACTTTTTATGTAGCTAGTATCATTAAAAATTTAGTTTATTTGTCTAAGCTTGATGTTGTTGGATACTCTTTTAAGTTTGAGAATAGTTGTTTCAGTTTATTTAAGCGTACATATATGATTGGAACTGGTACACTTTATGATGGTTTATATAAATTGAATTTGGATAATTTATATGCTGAAACTCTCATGACCTTGCATCATAATGTTGGCACTAAACGTAGTTTGGTGTGTCTGAAAGGCGTAATCGAACCTTAATTGATATGGTTAGGAGTATGTTAAGTAATTCATGTTTACCTGTATCATTGTGGATGTATGCTTTAAAGACTATCATGTATTTGTTGAACAGGGTTCCTAGTAAAGTTGTTCAAAAGATTTTTGAGTTATGGAAAAGTAGGAAACCTAGTTTGAGACACCTGCTTGTTTGGGGTAGTCAGACAGAAGTAAGAATTTATAATCCGCAAGAAAAGAAACTGGATGCAAGAATAATCAGTGGATATTTCATTGGTTATCCAGAAAAATCAAAGGGGTATATGTTTTACTGTCCTACTCATAGTACAAGAATTGTTGAAACTGGAAATGCTCGGTTCATTGAAAATGGTGAAACCAGTGGGAGTGAAGTTTCACGAAATGTGGAGATTAAGGAAGTTAGAGTACAAGTTCCAATAACTAGTACATCTTCAAGAGTTGTTGTTCCAAATGTTGTAGATTCACACGACAATCAAGAAGAACAACAAATTAATGATCCTGCGATTAACAATGATCCGATAATAGAACAACCATAGGAAATAGTATTAAGAAGATCTCACAGAGAAAGAAAGTCTGCTATTTCGAATGATTATGTGGTTTATCTACAAGAGTCAGAAAATGACCTAAGTATTAATAATGAACCAGTTTCATTTTCAGATGCCATTAATGGTGATAATTCTGATAAATGGTTAGATGCTATGAAAGATGAGCTTAAATCAATGACACATAATGGTGTATGGGATCTTGTGGAATTACCAGAAGGATGTAAGAGTGTTGGGTGTAAATGGGTCTTTAAGACTAAGCGTGACTCTCATGGCAATATCGAACGTTACAAGACCCGACTTGTTGCCAAAGGTTTTACTCAGAAAGACGGCATTGATTATAAGGAAACATTTTCACCTGTTTCTAAGAAAGATTCCTTTAGAATTATCATGGCATTAGTAGCTCATTATGATCTTGAGTTGCATCAAATGGATGTTAAAACTACTTTTCTGAATGGAGATTTAGAAGAGGATATTTATATGAATCAACCAGTGGGGTTTATTGAAGAAGGAAATGAACATATGGTGTGTAAACTTAAGAAATCAATATATGGACTTAAACAAGCTTCTCGACAATGGTATCTTAAGTTCAATGATACTATTTTATCCTTTGAATTTAAGGAAAACACTGTTGATCGGTGCATATATCTGAAGGTTAGTGGGAGTAAGTTTATATTTCTGATTCTGTATGTTGATGATATCTTGCTTGTGACTAATGATCTTGGTCTATTAATTGAGACTAAGAATTTTCTCTCTAACAACTTTGAAATAAAAGATATGAGTGAGACATACTATGTGATAGGAATAGAAATATTCCGTGATAGATCACAATGATCGTTAGGTTTGTCTCGTAAAGCTTATATTAATAAAGTTTTAGAGAGATTCGAATGGAGAAGTGTTCAAGATCTCCCGTTCCAATACGGAAAGGAGACAAGTTTAGTCTCATGAAATGTCCAAAGAATGACTTGGAATGGAAACAGATGGAAAATATCCCTTATGCATCTCGTTGTTGGGAGTTTGATGTATGCTCAAACATGTACGAGGCCAGATATTAGCTTTGCAATTGGTATGCTTGGTAGATACCAGAGTAATCCTGGACTAGATCATTTGAAGGCTGCAAAGAAAGTTTTAAGATACTTACAAGGAACAAAGAATCACATGCTTACTTATAGGAAAGTTGATCACCTTGAGGTGATTGAATATACAGATTCAGATTTTGCTGGTTGTATGGATACATGAAAGTCTACATTTGGTTATGTGTATCTTTTAGCCGGAGGAGCGATTTCATGGAAAAGTGCGAAGCAGTCTGTCATTGCTGCATCCACCATGGAAGCTGAATTTGTGGCATGCTTTGAGGCCACAGTTCAAACTAATTGGTTGCGGAATTTTATTTCAGGACTTGGAGTAGTCGACAGCATTGCCAAGCCGCTGAAAATTTATTGTGACGATTCCGCAGCAGTCTTCTTTTCTAAGAACGACAAGTATTCCAAAGGTGCTAAGCATATGGAATTGAAATACTTTGTCGTTAAAGAAGAAGTTCAGAAACGTAGAGTGTCAATAGAACATACTAGCACTAATCTTATGATTGTTGATCCTTTAACAAAGGGATTATCGCCCAAATTATTTTCTGGCCATATAATGAATGTGGGCATTATGTTCACTAGTGAATGTTGAATGTTAATGTTATTATTAATGCTTATGTGACACTCTGAGATCTTTAATGTATAAGTTTCTGAAATTTGTGTTTTTTTCTTTATTTATATGCATGCAAATTATGATGAAGAAAACAAATTATGTTATTATTATTAAAATGATATTATGTTTGAACCCATTATGGACTTCTCATTATAAAGTCATATTAAGGAGAAAGATATAATATAGTGGTACATGGAAGGGAACCTCGTCGATTGAATGACATGTAACCGTCATGACTCTTGTTATAGTCGTATCTTTAATTATGAATAATGATAGAACCAATTTATGTAAGGTCCTTTAATGCGCATTATGATTTAAGTATTAAATCACAAAACTGTATGACATCACATGAGTCAAGTGGGAGAATGTTAGAATTAATTTAATTAATTAATTCCATTATATGACTCATGTGAAATATAATAATGGGCCCAAATGTGATTTAATAAAATATGATGACCTATTGGTTATTATGTGAAGTCAGAATAAAATAAAGATAAAATAAAATATTAACTTACGGTAACCAACTTGATGGACGTTGGTTAATAAAAAGGATTAAGGTTCTGTCTCTGGTCATATAAGGTCTTTTTCACGGTAAACCATCAAGAAAGCAAAGCGTGAGAAGAGAAAGAAAGACAAAGAGATAGATTGGGAAAAGGAGATAGGAGAACGAAAAGATCAAAGAAAAGATTCTCATGGATCAAGGTTAGTCTTCTTATTATGATTCATGTATTGGTGTATGTAAAATTGTGAAAATCAATAATCTAAAGATCCTGTAGAGTAGTTTTCTATAATGAATTAAGAACGTAGGAAAACTACATAATGTCTTACATAGGAAAATCAACGAAAAATAATAATTTTTCTTATTTGGTGAAGTCACAAGTAAAAAAATTGCCACTTCCTACTATAACGGATATATTTATTTTATCTGAGCAGAAAATATAAGATAAATGTTATTTTACAAAACTATTCCCACTTAAATAACTTATTAATTAATAAAATATAATAAATATGAAAGTGATTATAAAAATTAAATAAATAATTTAATATTTTTTATATATCAAAATATATATTATTGAGATATATAATTTAAAGATATTACTATGAGTAATTTTATAATTGAATAAATAATTAATTTTAATTTAATTATTTATTATTTTTAAATAAACATTTTGCTTTCATTTTATGTCATTTTCTTTTTAAAGAATACTTTCTACTCTATCTTATCTTTATTTTTCTTTTCTTTTTTATTTTTTTTCTTTTCCCAAATTTTATTATCGAGACTCTTAGTTTAAACATTAACTTTAAAACATTACTTTCCCATGTTTTTATTAAATTTAAGTAGAGTATTTGAATTAAAAGAATAAGTGAAAGAGGAGAGGAAAACAAAAGACTACAAAAAATGAGTGAACGAAGAAAGAGAAAAACAAAATAAATGAGAAAAAAAAAAGAAGAGAAAGAAAAATTATTACCTATAAAAAATTAACAGATTTAGTTAAGTAAATAAATTAGTAAATATTCTATTTTTGAGTAATTTTTTTAAAATATATTATTTATAACATTGATTCCCAACAGGAGTGGATTGTCTTCCATATAAAATTAATATGTGATCCAAACTTCTATACATAATCTTTAGATTTTATCTTATTTATTATCAGAATAATCTCAAATTTATGGACACTTTAATATAAAATTTAGTCATATTATTTAACAAAACTTTTAATATTAATATTTAAAAATAAATTAAAATTACATTGGAAAAAAATACTTTAAAAAAAAATCCTCCAACTCCTTAATTTTTTAAAACTTCACCTATTTTGAAGAAAACAAGAAAAAGGTTAGTTTACTAATTTAGTCAAGTATGTTTTACTGGAAATTAAATTTGAACTAAAAAGGTTAAATTTACCAATTTAGTCTGGTATGTTTTACTGGAAATTAAATTTGATGAGTGGTTCAAATTTGTTTTTAGAAAATCCTTGTACTTTACAAATAACAACAGGGTTTCAGAGACGAGACATTTCGTCTTGATGCGTGAATCAATATTAAATTTAAAAGAAATACAAGACTTACATCCTTCAAAAAAGTGCCAAGTTTTAATTTTTTTAATTTTGTTTTAATAAAAAGTTTAGGGTTTAGGAGAGTTAGCTCTAATGTATTATATTGAAGATTGATGGTATCTACATTTTTACAAGGGTTGGTTGTTTTGGAGTTGCTGATCTGTAATTTCTATAAATTTAAAAGTAAAATCTGGAAAATGATTTTGTTAAGCATGTTTGTGATGCTTAACACCTCAGTTTCTGGTCATGGGACATTGTCAAGAAATAGACAGAGTCACAGTACTCCATTCATAATGTTGACATTGATTCATGAGAAAATATTACACCTTCTCAGGTGTAAAACTCTATGAAATAAAATATAAAAGTGAAATCCACAACCTCAATGTTCAATCTGATAGTGAGGAATTAACACGATATAGACGTTTCTGCCTGTATCTCCATGCAACTTGAATGCGGGTCGCAGCAAGGGATCTCCAATAAGGTGACTCATACCTAATGTTACACAATTAACAAAGTCATGGATTTTATAGTCACATCATCAGTTTCCAATCTCTGTTAGTCACATCATCAGTTAACAAGGACACAGATTAAATTGAAACAAGATTTTTTAGGGAGAAAGATAAGAAAAAGTATATGAGGACAGAAGAGAGTTATAATAGGACTAACATGTTATGTGTGAGTTTAAAACGTCTGAAATTATTATTACTGATTTGTTTATATTCATTTTTGTTAGTCATAAAATGTCAAGAAGATTAAGCTGACCCATAAATCCAGATAGATACAAAAAGACAAGGGACTGATTGACCTTAGGGCTCCTTGAACACATGGACTTCGCAAGAATCTTGTGAAAAGGATTGTGACTTCTTCAAGGTCTGAAGCAGAGAGTGAAAATGACTCCACATTTGTTAAGCACCTTACTGTCCTGTTGCTAACCAATCTCTGTCCTGGAAGCCTTACTTTTCTACCATCTGGACGAGAGATCAAATTGTTGAACCAAACAGTTTCTTATTTTGTACAGGCCAAGTTATTGACTATTGAAACTTCTTCTATTCTACTTTAGAAGATTAACAGAGATTATGTCATAACTTATTGATATACCTGTGCTCACTGAAGAATGTTCAAGATACCATGTCAGAAGTTCCTCACCACAAGCATCCCCTTCAGATAGAGGAATTTTGGTTCCATCTTCTCCAATGCTCTCCAATTTGCCACGCACCACGAATACCATCTTTTCCACCAGACCACCATGACTCAGAATTTTACTTCCTTTGATGTATGTCTTTTGTCTTAGTCTCTCACAAATGGCATCTAATATAGGCTCATCCATCAGAGCAAAAAGTCGAATCTGCATATAACTCAAATCCTCAGATCATGATCTAAATTGGTACAAAGTCTAAAAGAAAATAAAATCATCATTACAGTGAACTTGTGGCATTTTGACATGCTATGAATTTGGTATTCATGGATTTAGTTTCGTGATGAAGATGCATAAAACATTTCCTTTAAACTGTATTTTAATTTAAACTTTTATCCAAACTAGCAGCCTACAGGTAGAGACCTAATCAAAACAAAAAATTTAAATAAATCAGTGACTGAGATTATGAAGCTTTCCTTACATATAAACCTCAAAATTATAAATACACTTGAAGGGTAAGCATGATAAATTAGTGTAGTTATTATTCATTTAAGCCATAGGTGTGCATACACATACGTTCTTAACAAAATTGAAGAGATGGCGTCTTATGTCTCTCTGCAGATCTTCTGGCAAATTCTCCATAAGCATTTCTTCATTCACCCCCCTTGTTGCGGCCCAACTATACCGTTCAGCCTGTCTTACTCGCCTGTGTGACAGACATGTTATCAATTAGTTTCACACAAGATATGATCCATAATTTCAAATCTCATGATACATTATACTTAAATCGAAATGAAGGTAGTGGACATTACTATTTTCTCTGCATTGAGACCTACAGACATGTAATACTACAGTAAATCTGGTTACTTCTTATATTTGCATGTTACTAGATTAACATTCATGTGATGCACTGAGTTATAGTAAAAGAAGAATTTGATATTTAAAATTTGAATTATGTATTAATATTAATGAGTTATTTCCGTCAGAAAGATATTAAGTCAAAATTATAGATTATGTAAAATTTATCTATATATTAAGTCATCATATGTTAATGGATTCTTTCCGACAATAAGATATTAATGAAATCAAATTTAGAATTGTTTGTAATAAGGCAATTTCAAAATTTAGTATTTTTGGAATAATTTATTAGGCATGAATCATGACACATGACCCAGGAAAATTTGTGACATGTCAAAATTTTGGGTGACACTAGTGTTGAAAGTTACCACATGGTAGAATTTCTAAACCATGTTCTCCTTTTATGTTATATTGATTGATTGATTGTCTAATTGACCACATCATTCAACAGGATACTCCACAACACGTTCAGACTTTACATATTCTGCAAAATTACGTGTACTACTAGTGTACATAATGGGTAGATATTGTTTAGATATTATTTGATATTGTTAAGATATTGTTAGATATTGGTAACCACAATATCAAACAATATCTTCTGTTTATTCTGTTACTTTCAGTTACTCTTTTAGTTGTATCTCTCTACTATAAATAGACCACCCTATGTGTGATTTATACACAAGGAAAATTAATTCCAAACCCTATTTTCTCTATATTCAACATGGTATCTAGAGCTTAAGGTTATCTTGAATTTTTTTTTTCCGCCTTTTATCCACTGTTGGAGCCGCCCCACCGCTGCTAGAGCCGCCCCACCGCTGCTGGTAAACTGATCCTCCACATCAGAAAAGAATAATCTTTGTTACTGAATTTTATTTGGTAATGTGAAAGTGCATGTTTAGGAAAGTTCTGGCAAGAAAAGACTTGGTATTTAAGTGTGTCCATTAGTGACCCACCTCTCTTTCCTGAGAACTTACCTGGTGTACTAGTTCACGTTACCATCGCTACTGCTGCATTGGAGCTGATCACTAGGATCCGCCATGCTTAGGAGAATTCGCAGGAGTTTCATTTTTTTTGAACGGTCACATATGATTTTGCTTGTCTCGGTCAGGTGACCACCGTGCCATTGAGATCATCACTATCGAAGTTGGTCGTCCTATTGTCTCCTGCGCCGTTTAGTCTTGGCGAACTTATTTTTAGTATTATCATTTTGGATTTGTGCTTCGTGGGTTAAATAGATTACTTTGGATTGTTTTAGGGTTTGTTCTCCCGCTCTTCATGACTTCTTCCACTATTTCCAATTTTGTTAACGATTCTTGTGTGTTGACATCCCATCGTGATGACCGGGCTCGCCCTCACAAACAGGAAAAAGGGCGTCTTAAGTGTGAACACTGTGGCAAGCTAGGTCACAAGATTAACAAGTGTTATACATTACATGGTCATCCTCCTCAATCTGCTGTAGTTGTTCACACCAATCTTTCCCCACCTTTATCTGCAGGGGATCTTCCTTCTTTTATTGCATCCGACATACCTGCTATGTTTAACAAATTTCTCGAATGGTATAAGGATCAACAGTCTTCTAGTTCCACTATATCTGTCACACATACAAATACATATTTTGCTGGTCTGACCCAATCATTTTCTCCTGGTCCTTGGGTTTTTGATTCGGGAGCCACTGATCATATTACTGGTAACAAATCTTTGTTCTCCTCTTTATCCTCTCCTAATCATTTACCTTCTGTTACACTGGATGATGGTGTTGGAACGGTTAAACTTTTTCTTTCTTTAACCATTGATAATGTTCTTTATGTTCCTGGGTCTCCTTTTAACCTGTTGTCCATCAGTCGTCTAACTCGTTCTCTTGATTGTGTTGTTACTTTTACCAATAATTCTGTGTGTTTACAGAATCGGAGTTCAAAACAGGTGATTGGCACAGGATATGAGTCTCATGGTCTTTATTATCTCCGCCCCTCTACACATGTTAGTACAGTTATGAAGTCTCCATCTCTTCTTCATGCTCAGATAGGTCATCCAAGTCTTGCCATGTTACAAAAACTTGTCCCTGCCTTGTCCAACTTATCTAGTTTGGCATGTGAGTCATGCCAATTAGGCAAGCATAGTCGTACTTCCTTTCCTCTTAGTTTCACACGTGGTGCTTCGTCCCCTTCGTCCTCTTAGTTTCAAACTCAGTTCAGTGTTCCTATTAGAGTTTTGCGTAGTGATAATGACCGTGAATATCTTTCTCATTCTTTTAAACAATTCATGGCTTCTCACGGTATTTTGCATCAAACTTCTTGTGCTTATACACCTCAACAAAATGGTGTAGTTGAACGTAAAAATAGACATCTTATTGAAACAACTCGCACACTTTTAATTCATGGAGATGTTCCTCAACATTTTTGGGGTGATGCTCTTCTTACTGCATGTTATCTCATTAATCGCATGCCTTCTTCGGTTTTAGATAATAAAATACCTCATTCCATTTTATTCCCTCATGAACCACTTCATCCTTTACCTCTGAAAGTTTTCGGGTCTACATGTTTTGTTCATAATTTCAGTTCTGGTCTTGACAAACTTTCTCATAGATCACATAAATGTGTTTTCTTAGGGTTTACAAGATCACAAAAAGGATACAAATGTTTTTCTCCTTCTCTTAACCGTTATTTTGTGTCAAAAGATGTCACCTTTGATGAGTTGTCTCTTTATTTTAAAAGTCAATCTTCACCTCTGTCTCCATCCAATCTTGTCAACACTCCTAATACATTTAATGTTCACTGTTGTTTGTGACCCTCTAGCTGTGTCTTCTTCACCATTAGTTCTGCTCCGTGATCGGCTTCTTCTCCACTTGCCTCTTGATTTATAGTTCTCGAAACCAATCACAACCACCACCATGTAACTCTACTCAAGTGCCAACTACTCTGTCTCCTCCGGATCTGACACATGAGTCCGACCTTCTTATTGCCTTCAGAAAAAGTATTAGTTCTACACGTAATCCCTCTCCCCATTATATTGCTTTGAGTTATCATCGATTGTCATTACCTTTTTATACATGTCTTTCCTCTATTTCTTACTGTGACCATTCCAAAAGCGTCAGTGAAGCTTTAGCCCATCCTGGTTGGCGTCAGGCCATGTTAGATGAACTAAGTGCTCTTCATAATAGTGGAACTTGGGAATTGGTCCAGTTACTTGTCTAAGAAATGCTGTTGTTGGTTGCGGGTGGGTGTTTGCTATCAAAGTTGGACTCGATGGTACTATTGATCGCCTCAAAGCTCGTCTTGTGGCCAAAGGTTATACTCAAATTTTTGGGTTGGATTATGGAGATACCTTTTCCCCTGTGGCAAAAATGGCTTCTGTTCGTTTATTTATCGCCATGGCTGCTCTTCAACAATGGCCTCTTTATCAACTGGATGTTAAAAACTGTTTGTTATATATGGAGCAACCTCCTGGGTTTGTTGCTCAGGGGGAGTCTTCTGGGATGGTATGTCGTCTTCGCAAATCCCTATATGGCCTAAAACAGTCTCCTAGGGCTTGGTTTGGAAAGTTTAGCAAGGTTGTTCAACAATTTGGTATGACTCGGTGCGAATTAGATCATTCTGTCTTTTATCGACACTCGAGTGCTGGATGTGTTTACTTGATAGTATATGTTGATGACATCGTTCTTACAGGTAGTGACAACCATGACATCTCTCAGTTGAAACAACATCTCTATCACCATTTTCAGACCAAAGATCTTGGCAAACTTAGATATTTCTTGGGTATTGAGGTGACATAGTCCAATGATGGTATTGTTATATCTCAGAGGAAGTATGTCATAAATATTTTGGAGGAAACTGGGTTGATGAGTTCAAAGTCTGTTGATACACCCATGGGTCCCAATACTAAACTTCTACCAAATCGGGGGAGTCTATATCTGATCCTGAGCGAGTATAGAAGATTGGTTGGAAAATTGAATTATCTTACGAGTTACTCGTCCCGACATTTCCTTTGCGATCGGTGTGGTAAGTCAATTTCTTAATTCACCATGTGAAGATCATTGGAATGCAGTCATTCTTATCTTGAAGTATATTAAAGGATCTCCTGGAAAAGGATTGTTATATGGTTCTAATAACCATACAAGAGTTGTTTGCTACTCAGATGCTGATTGGGTAGGATCTCCTTCGGATAGAAGATCTACATTTGGATATTGTGTCTCCATTGGTGGTAACTTGATCTCATGGAAAAGTAAGAAACAAAGTGTTGTGGCAAGATCCAGTGCAGAAGCAGAATATAGAGCTATGACCTCAGCTTCCTGTGAACTTGTTTGGCTCAAGTAATTGCTTAGAGAGTTACAATTTGGAGATGTCATTCAAATGACACTTGTGTGTGACAATCAGGTTGCTCTTCATATTAGTTCTAATCCTGTCTTTCATGAGAGGACCAAACACATTGAGATTGATTGTCATTTTATTCGATAAAAGATTATGTCTGGAGATATCAAGACTGAGTTTGTTAACTCAAGTGATCAGTTAGCAGATATTTTTACTAAATCTTTACGGGGTCCTAGAATTGATTATATTTGTAACAAGCTTGACACATAGGATTTGTATGCTCCAGCTTGAGGGGGAGTGTTAGATATTGTTTAGATATTATTTGATATTGTTAAGATATTGTTAGATATTGGTAACCACAATATCAAACAATATCTTCTGTTTCTTCTGTTACTTTCAGTTACTCTTTTAGTTGTATCTCTCTACTATAAATAGACTACCCTATGTGTGATTTATACACAAGAGAAATTAATTTCAAACCCTATTTTCTCTATATTCAACAATAATGATAGTCATATTTAACAAACACGTATTAAGGGCAGATACAAACAGATTCAAAAAAATCCCAAATTTCCATTGCCTCTCTTTGAAATCTAAAACAAGCCTTCAGAACCTGCTAACTTTGACAGGTTAAAGACCATTTGTATCTTCGAAATGTAAACTGCCAATGTGCAAAGAAACGTTTACATTTTCAATAAATGGTGTTTTGGGAAAGGGTGGAGACTTAACAACCAACCAGTGACTTAAACCGAGAAATTGACAAAATAAACTTTTTGGCAATGCTAACATAATCCGAACGATAAAATTTTATACCTTCTTAGATCTTCTGGTAATCTTCGATGGCTCATCCATTGCTCAACGTCACGGCCTCTAAGTTGCATTTCCAGCTTCCTGTAAAAGGGATAAAAGAAAACATATCAAGCATAATATTGCAATACTAGAAGCATTAGAACTAGATAATCAAGGTTTAATCTTGCAGTATTGGGTATGTTCTACCTCCGTCCAAGAGCCTGTAGAAAATTCTGTATGTTGCCAATGAGAATTGCAAAGAGTAAGAGTCCCGATCCTATGATGGCCATAGTAAAAAGAACTTCCCACACAAAATAGCTAGGAACTAGATTACCAGCCAGAGTACTGATTTGCTGTATCAAGAGCATCCAGGGCATAACTGTTAGATTAGATATCAAAACATTCATGTGACTGCTCTAATAGTTAGGAGCGTTAGTACAAATCAGAGTTTCTATGACCTATTAGCAAGTTACTATAGAAGAGAAATAGTGAGAGATGCAAACCTGGAATCCCCAGAAAAGAGAATACACATACTTTTTGACCGCATTAGTTTCTATAGTAAGTGGTACAGCATTCACATAAATCCCATAAGGGAAACTATTAGAAGATGTGTTCAAACAATCAGCAGCATCAGTATTGTTGATCCACTGATTTGATGTGAAGTCAGGATGGCCGCGTCCACAATCAATGAACTTCATGCAACCAGGTATATCAGAATGACGGCAAGCATCTCGCAAACACTGATTAACCCTCTGGGAGAGGAAAGAGGAAGAAAAGCAGAAAGTAAATTGAATGCTAACTTTTATTACCAAATTAAATTCCTGATTCCAATACCAAATTCAAATTAAAGCATCTAAGGAAACATAATATACTTTGTAGTTGAATTTCATTTCTGATATTGCAATAACAATAGAAGGATGTCATACATGTTCAGTAATTCTAATAGCATAGAATAATAATAATAATAATAATAAGTTATTATCATTATTATTACTATTGTTATAATATATAATACACAACCACATTGAAATATGCATCTAAGTGAATCAAGTATTATTACTTCTGTCTTTTCCTTTTGCGCTTATCATGGTTTCAGGGCTGGGGTGTAAGTTGTAGCTTATGCTAGTCATGAACAATAAGTTTGGTTCTCTTTGGGGAAGGTGTGGATTTATTGGATATTACCATATATTAAGGACAAAATTCAATATCATAGAAAAAAACAAGTTCAATCCTACGTTTCTCACCTGAAGACCAAAGAGGTACCAGCAAGAGCCAACAACATGACTAGCAAGCATAAAAATGAGAAGATTTATAATAAAATTTGCCCAAGCAGACTCAAATATGAATCCTGTTGGAGATTGGCCAATTAGCAGCGGCAAAAACCTGAATAACTTGGGAAAATATTGCACTAAGATCGCTGCACGCAGGAGATTCTTGGCCTGATTTGCTCCTCCCAAGGAATTTGGTAGGACAAACAATAACATTATCTGCAAATATTTCATTACATATGTCAAGAAATTTGGTGAGTTGACAAGCTCATAATAGCTTTATCTTGTTTTACAGATTGAAAAACCCTTTTTTTGCACTGTCATGCACATGCTAATATCCATATAGAAAAGTGATTCCTAGAAATGACACATAGAAAGGAGAAACCATTTTGGTAAACGCCAAACCTGATCATGCATGATAACATAAAAACTAAGCAGTTTAAGAACACAAACAAGGTTCTGTTGGTCAAACCAGTAATTGAATCAGTGAAGTTGGCTTCACAGTTTAATGGTTGAATATTGTTGAACCCGTGTATAATTAATGTGTGTATGCGTGCACTAAACTTATCATGCTACTTTTTGTATATATTGTTATCATGAATCCTTTTTAACATCTTAAGCTTTTTTTTACTAACTTAAAACCATAATATTGATTCTGTTAAACATAAAGAACCACGGGAAGCTATTATAGCATACAAAGCATGAAATTGAATGAATAAAATGAAAGTGAATATCATTTCTTTACAATACGGTTATTAAAATAAATTATCAATTCATTATAGTAATTAAAGTATATCTTGATCTTATTGTAATATATTTATTTAAATGTTTTTTACTTAAAAGACTGAATACATTATGTAGTATAAGGTAAAAGGTTAATGCCAATATAACCAACAATAGGCAGTTGATGTAGAGACATTTGTGCTTTAGTAGACCTATACTTGACACCTTAGTTGACATTGTGCTTGATTTAAATAGGTTTGAACTGTGACCATTCGTCATAATTTGACTGATTCGCATACAGTAGAGGTCAAATACCAGCTTGCCAAACCAGCTCATAATTTACGAACTCTAAGCATAAAGCAAGAAACAAAACAATATAAATCTAATGATAAGAATCATTTATAATATAACTTGAAGCTCAAGATTTTAGGTTAATTGACTAAAAGCTGACAGATATTTGAATAATTGTCACCTGTCAAGAAATAATTGGGACTGTGGCATGTCTGTGTTGAAGAATTGGCTCATTACAACAGTAATTACAATGACAGTAAACCTTGATAGCTTTTTACTCATATCCCTTATTTAACATATCCTAAAATTTGATATGTTAAGATAGACATGAAAATAAATTGAAACCTCATTCATAGGGAAAACCTAATGCTTGAATTTGGTGAGTACAGAATTTTATTTCAAAAATCCCAGTAAGTCCAAACAGATAATATAAGTAAAATGGCTATAGTACACCAAGGACCCTCGTGGTTTCCCTTTTTGTATGACAACTGAAAGTTTAGATCTGGCAAAAACATATATCTCACAGGATGATTAGAAAACATTTATGTTCAAGTTTGATGATTGCCAGGAAAAGTAGAGAAAAAAATAAAAAAGTATTCATATTCTGATGGTAGGCTAGTATACCATATAATTCAAAATAAAAATTGTGGCATTGCAAATGGATATCTGATATACTAAATCTGGAGGAGCAAACCTAGTGAAAAAGAAAAAGAAAAGGAAAACAAATTTCAAAAGGAGAAAGGAAAACAAGAAGCACTTTACCTGAGGAAGAGGAAATACAACAAATAAGTCAATGAGGAAATAACCCTTTAGGTAATGTAGAGCAATTTTCTGTGGATGGTCAACTAAATCTCCAGCACCAACCACCCTGGACTCACGAGAAACATAAGCTAACCTAAACTGTAAGCACACAAATTCATAGAGTTATTTAAGCTTTATTAAATTTTGAAAACGAAGCAAACGGACTAAAAAGGTTAACCATATTTAAGATTCAGGAGAGTAGTATTTTTCTTTGCTTTTCCTTTTGAACTTAACTAACAAGCAACAAAAATGCAAGACACATGCGAGTACTTTATAGTAATAATAAGAATACAGTCCAATCTGTTTAGCATTTTTGTCTGTCTTTTAATCATTTCAATTTATTTTTAATCTAGTATTATTAGAGATAGATAATTATGTTATATTCCTGTAGTAACAATTAGTGAGTTAGTTTCCTGCCTGTGACAGCTGCATATAAGACCTTTGCTTGATCAATAAAATTCAGTACATTCTTTTCTCTCACTTCAATACGTATCAGTTGATATTCTATCTCAGCACGTTTCTGCTTATCTCTTTAGATTCCTCTTGGGGATCATATATGAGTCTAATCCCTTCACTATTCTCTCCCTTAAACAAGTATAATATGTATTAGTTATTTGATATTGTATGGTTTACTTGCAGCAAATAATATATACTCTTGGATTTGGAAAAACGTAGGAACAAGGCTCTATACCTGATAAATTATATTGAGCAATTGTTTTAAATGCAGTGTGGTTATGTGAAATTATGGGTGGGTAACTAAAAATGATGTAGACATAATTGCAGATTGGGATTGTAACATCTTATTTGAATAGTTAACTTACTTTGAGTTGGCTTATATGAAACCAATCTCTGTTATTATTGAGCTAGAAGTATGTTCTGAAGTACATGCATCAGAGTATATATGTTGTCAAACTAAACATGGCATCAATGACAGCATTTGACTCTATTTTTCAAACAAAAAATAAGGTACCGTTCTATGAGTCAAAAGATTTGCACAAGTTAAAAATCAAGGGGTAGGTGAAAGGGTTTATGAAAAGATAATAAACAACAAGTTACCTGGAGAAGAATGTTAAGGAAATAAACAAAATCATTCAGCCACCTAAATAAAACAAGTGCTGTTGTCAATGGCCAGTTGATAACAATGCATTTATTATCCTGCATATAATGAACAGGAAAAATGAAGAGCAAATTGGCAAAAAGTAAAGCTAAAGATAAGTCACTAGAGCTTGCTATTTTCTAGTTAAATGATAGAAAATAATCATACCTCCTCCACATAGAGTAAAAAGAAAAACAATGGGTCCACAAAAATACCAATTAAGCAAAATATTGCCAAAAATTTGTTCCACTTTTGTACAACTTTCGCATGAGGGTTCATAACTCCAGGAACATAAGAAGAGAAGAAAGAAAGAAGTTTTCTCACAAAACTCTTGGCATCCCCATAAAGAGCATTATGGAACTGCATTCAAAATATGAACAAAAGTAGACATGGTTATTAGAAAGTAATAGTCAATGACAAATGTCTACAAGAAGAAATGGAAAATGTTGCAATAAGATTAAAGATAATGATACAGTAAATCTTGTAGGAGATTTTATAAATGAGTATTAGATAAATAATGAGACAACTTGAAGTTGTAAATTGACAACACTTTTTGTTCATACTACCATGGATATACCAATTCAGAGAAGGCATCACATATTAGTAAATTACAATTATTCAGAACCTATTTAGTGAATTACATTTGCAATATCCTCTCTTCTCACCCTTTTTTGGTATTTTCATCCAACATAGCAAACAAACTTTATCAACAAAGGTTAGTAAATTCATATATTTTAAAAGAAACTCACCATCAAACTACATAAATATATTTTGGATGCTTCGGCTAAATCAGGCCTAAGGACCAACAATCTTTTCTCGTGAATATAAATCCAAATGTCTAGGTACATAAACAAAGTGTTTTTCATAGCAATACCATTCAACTTGTTAATTTTTTAGATATTATTAAAATATGACGATTTCAAAATGCCAAAAAGATAACCATATAACTAGAGAAGTACAGTCATCTTAGTGATTGACAAAACAATATACCAAGATACACATAAATATGAAAACAATAAACTCTATAGTATAGTGGAGCTATTGAAAAAGGAAAGAATGAATCTTTATTGAATAGGAACTATCTCCAGGTCTATCCCAGTATGGGAGCAGCATAAAAGAGAAAAAACTGTCAAATTTATCTTAAAACCAATTGGCATCATTAAGTGAGGTCATCCAACAAATATATAAGGAGCACGCTAAAATTGAGACAAGCATGTGAAATTTCTCTACAACCCCTCAAAAATGTAAGAAATATGCCAAGATGGGCTATAGGCTAAGATACCATGTCATATTTCACCTTAAAACAATTAACTTTAAGTTATCTAGTAGATATATGAGGAATACCATAAGAATTGAGACAGGTGACATGGGACACTCTCTCCACATACGCCTACTAAAATAAGTAATTTACCAAGATGAACTATAGGATCTAATACTATGTCAAATTTCGGCTCAAAACTGATGGACATTAAGTGACCAACAAATATATAACTAGCACCCCTAGAATTGATGCGTATAATGTGGGACATTGCAACAAAAACAAGAAAACAGTGCTCCATTGAAGTCAGACAGACATATACTCTCCTAAATGCCTCACATTGCGCAACAACACATCCCTTGATCTGATATCCTCATAGAATCCTAACTATGACCCTTCTAACTGCTACCACTAAATGCTAAACTCACTCTTGTGGTACGTTAGTTTGGTCCTTGCTAGCTCCTTGCCCAATTTCTTCTTCCTAACATAGACCTGTTTGACTACAGGCCTGCTATCAACAGCCTACTTAAAAATTGCATTAGTACAATTAAACCAAATATCGACAATTATTATACCATAGTGAATTCCTGATATTTGTCAGAATATAGGTCTACAACATGAAAACAAGCATCTGAAGTAAAATGTTTGTCTATGGACTAAATAATTGAAGGCAACTAAAATTATAGTCTATTTTAGGATGAAGGACAGAAACCTTTGGATCCCATCTAGCCGAAGGTTTTGGATTTCTTTGCTCAGAAGCATTGAAGTAAGTTGGGCAAGTAGTACAATAAGGATCATTGCACATTCCCAGTTGCCCAGACCTTAGTAAGTGTTCATTTTTTCTATCATAGTCAATATTTGGGTAATTTGAACTTGTGCCATGGAGAGTAGCAAAATTATCTTTCTTTCTCTCCTCTGCTTCGTTTCCCGACACATTATGCTTCTGCAAAAGATTTCCTGTTCCATTGGTAGCATATAATGGACCACTCATATGCATAAAGGGTGTTTTTCTCTTGCTCTGAAGTGGACCGGTATGTCCCACAAAGCTAGTTTCTTTCTCATATGATTCCAAGGAGCTCATAGGAATAGAAATTAAAGCACTTTGTGTCCTGGTTACCATCCTTCGGAACTTAGAATCCAAGGGTTCATCGTAGGTTTGTGCATCTGTATCTGACAGCATTGGTCGCTTGTCATTTTCAAAATTAGCCATGTTTTGATAATTCTGCAATTTTTCACAAAGTTAGCAAATCATCCAATACATATGTTTCTGTATCTTATCACAATTCTAAATCAAATACTCCAATTTAACTTGAAATGTGAAATGGGAGGATATAAGTTATAGAATAGTAACTACAAAGTGATTTAGTGCAGCATGAAAAAACCAAATACGACAAAGCAGTAACAAAATTAGATTGAATTTCATACAGAATAAGGGTACCCGTATTATCTTTCCCTTGCATATATAGTCCACATAGATTCTTAACCAAAACTCAATCGCCTGCAATTCATATTCCAGATGAAGACTTGTAACATTTCAGGAATAATAAGCAGCAATAAGATAATGAGGATGTGTGACCATACAACGATTAAAAGGGATACTAATTCTAGTGCTACAATTTACGAAATAAATAGTGAAATTTAGTTATGAAGTTAGGATCTCCCCCATACTCACTAGAAATAGAACATTTATTATTCAATATAAAAAAAGCAATGAATCCCTTATCTAAATCCTCTGGAGCTTGAAAGAAACTAAATAGTAGCGATCCATTGACCAAAACTAATTTTACAAAAAGCATTGAGATGCATGAACCATCAACCTCTAGTTTCTAAGGGAGAGTTAATAAACACAAAAAATCTACAGATACCCTTCAACCCATTTTTCCTGCCCCCACATGCATTCCAAAAATTTAGCATACATATACATACAGTAATATGCAGCATTGAAAATCAGCAGTTAGCTTTGGAATCAGGGGAAGAATCTTAGCACGATGAAACAAGGCCAACACACTGCAAAGGCAATGATCAAGCAATAATCAAAGAAAACAACACTACTCATAATTTCAGAAACCTGTTGGGGAGCGAATTTCCCGGTGAAGAGTCAAAACCCAAAACCCCACAAGCTTTTTTAAATCCGATTAAGAGAAAGATTGCTCTTTTGGGAGCTTCTTCATCACGGGGGCACTGCAGAGGAGATTCTCACAAAAGGGTGCATCACTTTAAGGACAATATGAGAAATGACTAGAGATAAACACAGGTGTAAGGGTGAAAATGTGTGAACTGAAGTGTGTGGGGTGAAGAAATTGAAAGTTAAGGTAGGAGTTGGAAACGGAATTGGATTGCAAGAGGTGATAAGGATGGTTTGTTTGGTTCTATTTTAAACTTCTTTTATCGGTCGTTGGAATGATTTGTCATAGCCGTGTGTAATCTGGCTTACGGCATAGAAACATGCAAAGGTCTTCCTTTTTCAACTGTGTCATTACTTTTGCTTTTCTATTTCACTTTAACATACAGATATTTACTTAAAATAAAATAAAAAACTACTTTCAAAAAATTATTTTAATCTATTTACATTTTAAAACTAAATTAAAATTATCATATATCTGAAATAATTAAATTAACTATCTGTCATACCTATCGTTATATCACATTCTATCAAAATCTCTCACCAAACTTTCTATTTTTTAGAACTTGTTTCTCTTTTTTAGAACTTGCCAACCTGCAAAGCAACAAGTTAGGGTCAGTTGTTATGGTCAAGAGTAGTAGGTAACTTAGTCAATTTTGTTAAAATAAAAATAAATAAGACTTATATATATATATATATATATATATATATATATATATATATATATATATACCATAAATATTTTTACTGGTACAATCTCGTTTAAATTAGATAATGTCATTATAAAAATAATAACTTTCCTGTCAAATATATTATATGCATACTTTAAATAAGTCAAAGAAAATTATGAAAGAAATTTATCTAATTAAGATTAACGGTTCCTTTTATATACTGTCCAAAGTAATTTGTCTGAAAAAAAATTATTAAAAAAATACCTTTTTTCGTTAACAATATTTAATTTATATACAAATTAAAACTTAACTTTTAAAATTAGTTATTTATAAATAATTTTAACTTATAGAAAAATTCTTACTTTTCCTTCTGTTAACATTTATAAACAAATTTATCCAAATTATAACTATTTACAAAATAAATAAAATACCAAATAGATACATTTTTTCAAATTCTAATTATAATATTGAACTTAATTATTTATCAATTTTACCAAATTTTCATGATATTTTTTTTAATATTATTGTACTGTGGTTGTTTTCTAATTGGCTTTCTCCTCACACGAAAGAAAAAAAAAAAGCGATGAAGGCCGTTGGCAGCATAAACGTTAATGTTTTGCACGTGCAGATTTCACTAGACGCAACATCATTGTTATTTTTAGTTACACGTTTGTCATTTATTAATTTCATAGTGTGGTATGCACGATGTTTTATTCTGTTTCTAGTGCACTCATTAAAACATCCGTCTAATTGATTTATTTTTAAATGTTTTTTAAAATACATGGATTAGAAAAAAGAAAGAAAGAAATGTTTATGATTATGTTATAACTTAATAGATTTTTATTTTTTTACATTTGAGGTTAAATTAAAAAAAAGTCATGTTTCAAACACATATGGCTTCAAAAAAAAATTGAAATCCGTTTTTATTTTAAAAATAAAAAACATTATAAAATTTGTTTTTAATTTCAGAAAATATATTATTATTACAATATATATATATATATATATATATATATGATATTTTTCAATATTTTTACCATTTATACATGTGTAATTTGTGTTAACTAGAAACTAAATACAGATTCTAGAATCCAAACATTATGTTAATGGAAATAAAATAAATAACCTAGTGGTCACACATTTAACTCCTAACACAAGATTTTACAATGTTTTGTACCTATGCATAAGTATTGTCTAATACAACTTAGATAATATTAGAGTGAAATCAAAATCTTTTACGTTTCATTTGATTGTGTAGTGTTAGCACGACTAAGACATTTCGTTCTGTATCTCCATGCAACCTGAATGCTTGTTGCTGCAAAGCATCTCCAATAAGGTGATTCATACCTATCATAAGATAATGGATTAAGAAAACCAGTAGAATACACCTGCTTTCTACATTTATAGAAAAAACAAACTGTATACAAAGCCATATATGACAGTGTTAGAAAAGATTTCTCAGGAAGATGAAGAAAAATAGGAAGAACCAGAAGCCAAACAACCATGAACATAGGACAAGAGGATAACCTTATAGCTCCTAGAACACGGGGACTCCTAAAGAATCTTGCAAATAGGCCTGTAACTTCTTCAAGGTCTGCTGCTCTAAGGGAAAATGCCTCCACATTTGTTAAGCAACATACTGTTCTGTTACTAACCAACTTTTGCCTTGGAATCCTTGATTTTCTACCACCTACAATACAAGACATACTTCAGACTAAGTTTATGTTGTTGACTTCTGCAATTCAGCATGTCAAATACTCTAACCATGAAACTTGCACCTATTCTAGAAAGGATCTTGCAAATTAGCACCTTAATAGTTTGGTTCTTCAATTATCTTTATTTCACAAACTTCATCTCCTCATGTTAATTATACAATTTTGATTCATCTATTAAGAGAAATGCTAATGTCACTCTAACATCAATACATTCATGCTGACATGATACTCCAGTACATGAACCAAAAATTGCACAAATAAAATATAAAGGATCAAATTCTCTAAAAAGAAAGTGAGAGGTTAAATTTGAAAAATGATGATGGGGAGAAGAGATTTAAAGTGCAATTAAGTCTAAACAATTCAAACTAGTTAAAAATTCAAGCATTAAATGATAAATGCTTCCCATTTTTATAACATTTTCCACTTTTATATCAAACAGGACCTTAGAGCCCTTGTTACTTCTCTAATAATTGCCTTGTAGAAATGAAATGTACCTTTGCTTGCTAAAGGATGCTCAAGACACCATGTCATAAGTTCTTCACCACAGACACTCCCTTCATAAAGAGGAGCACGGATTCCATCTTCGCCAACACTCTCCAATTTTCCACGCACAATAAAAACCATCTTCTCTACCAAACCACCATCATACAAAATTTTGCTTCCTTTGATGTATGTTTTTGGTCTTAGCCTCTCACAAATGGCATCCAATATATGTTCATCCAACAAGGCGAAAATTTGAACCTGCAGCAAATAAAAAACAAAGTAAGATCCATTTAAGCTTGAAGTGTGGACAATGCACAAAATCACCCTATCTTGTAATAAAACTCAACTGATTTAGCACAATGGGAACAATAAGGATCAAATTCTAGAACACATGAACATAGAGGTTATAATACTATGTCATGAACAAGTTTCAATATCTAGTAATAACTAACTACAAAGCTACAACCTACCTCAAAAAATTAAACATGCAAAATCTACATAACCATGAATTGATGACAAGGAAACTGATGTACTAACTTTCTTGATATATGTAAAGAGATGACGTCTTATGTCCCTTTGGAGGTCTTCTGGCAAATTCTCCAGGAGCATTTCTTCATTCACCCCCCTTGTTGCAGCCCAGTTATAACGTTCAGCCTGTCGCACTCTCCTACGTGACAGATCAATCATATAAGTGGAATGAATCTCTCTCACTCTATATCACCCACACAATCACATTCCACATTGGTGGAGCCACGATATTAATTCAAAGGAATTAAGTTTTCGGGTAAATAATCATGTAAAAGTATATTGCAATTCTATACTATACACTAGTACTAAGGTTGGTAAGTACTAAAATTTTATACTTAAATTAATATATACATTGCCAAAAATGGTGTTTTTGAAACGAGTAGAGACATAACAAGTGAAAGTTTAAAGAATTTAACAACAAATACTATGAGAGCAATACAAGTCTGATGAAAATTGCAAAGAATGATACCTTCTCAGATCGTCTTCTAAGCCCCGATGGCTCATCCATTGCTCAACATCACGTCGTCTAAGTGACATCTCTAGCTTCCTTTAAAGAGAAAGTAAGAAAATGAAATATATATATATATATATATATATATATATATAGATTATTGATTATTTAATATGTCACAAATGGCAAGTTTATTAACCATAATTACTATTGAAAAAACTGCTAGGATATTCTATTCATGAGGGCTCTTTGTAATCCAAAATTCTTAGTTAAAACCATCAACCCAGAAAGTCCCAATTCCAAAATCATGAAAACTATAATTAGCTTCTTTTTAGTAACATGTAGACCAAAGAAAAGGCTACAACTTTAGAAAATGTAGTATTAACTCAACGAGGTACAGGGGAGAGAAAGCAGTACAACTGTATTACTCTATATGAAGCTCACAAATTCTTCAATATTCAAGGTAGATCATCAGATAACTTAGTAAGGTATTCCCTAAAGAAACTCTAAAACATCACTTAATCAAGAGAGGTGGAGAGAAGACAATATTGTCCTCAAACAACACTCGTGAATCATATTGTGTTCTAGCTATAAACTGATGAGGTATTTCATATATGAAGCATGGCATTCTACCTGCGTCCAAGAGCCTGAAGAATGTTCTGTATGTTTCCAATGAGAAGTGCAAACAGCAGCAGTCCTGATCCAAGAATGGCCTTAGTAAAAATGACTTCAGGAACATAATAGCTAGGGACTAAATTCCCAGTCAGTGTGCTAATTTGCTGCAAAAAAACACAGGTATAGCATTAGTAGAATTTCATCTATTTTGAAAAATTAAATATTGAATTAAAAAGGCACGCAATTTACATACAACATCTAAGTATCTCAAGATAATTTCAAAATGGCTTTTCCAGATTCATGGATATTCATTCGGAAATTCTGGCTCTTAAAGTCTGAAATGTGAATGTTATCTTGCCTCAATTTTCAACACTAGACAAGTTTTATGTCACCTAAGCTCTAATAGAAACACACCGCACAAGTAAACTGGTAACATGATAAACTTGATAATAAACACAGTTACCTGAAATCCCCAGAATGATGAATATATATATCTTTTGAACACATCATGCTGTGCGGTAAGGTTGACAGCTTTAACAAAGATACCATAACCATCACCAAAACCATCTTCATTAAAACAAGCAGTTGCAACAGTATTGTTCTTCCAATTATGCCAACTTGCATTATGCAGATATTGTTCAGTTTTTCCATGCCCACAATCAATGAATTTTGTGCATCCAGTAATATGTGTTGTCTCACAGGCTTGTCTTAGACATTGATTAACCCTCTGGGAGAAAGAATATAGAGAATGCTGAAATTAATAACTGAATATGAACCTTTATTTGATGTAGCTACCTAAATGAAATTCCCAAACTTTTAATTGAATCACTGATAAGAACCCAATAAAACAGTAATGAATAAAAGATGAAAATTCCTCACATTAATTCAGTATCTGAAAACAAAGAAAAAAGACATTCCTCTTCCCCCAAAAGGGTCAATCCCAGATCATGGTTTTCTGTTCCCCAAAAACCAGCCGCCCCCTCTCCCCAAAACGTCCCCTCTCCTATACTCTCATTGCCTATTTCTCTCTCCAAACAGACACGTAGGCAGTTCTGTTAGAAACAGAATCATAGTGCGTGTGCCTATGGATCCCATGTAATGGGCTTCCACTTCTTCCTCTTATACACATTTTGGGCTTTCCTAATTTGCCCCTCTAATTCTTTGTTTGTAAACTTTGTATCAACACCTCCTTCTTTAAAATTCACCTTGTCCTCAAGGTGGAGCTCAGGAAAGGCTTTCATCATTCTACTCAGGGATTCCCAAGAATTCTCACAATCAGGCATGTTCTTCCACTTTACCAACACTTCTAAGGATTGATCACTTTCTCCTCTCACGGCTAACACATTTTCTGGTTGGACTTGTAACTCCAACTCCTTAGTCACATACTGGGGTAAAGGTTGGACAACAACATCAGCTGTCATAGTGGGCTTCAATAGGGACACATGAATGACAGTGCACTCTTCTATCCTCCGACAATTTCAATCTAAGTCACTTTTCCCACCTTTTCAACAATTTCATACGGGCCATAATATCTCGGGCTGAGTTTCTGATTAATTCTCTTAGCCAATTTCTTCAACTTGTATGGTTGAATATTCAAACACAACATCCCCCACCTTATACTCCACTGTTCTTCTCTTTTTGTCAGTCTGCTGCTTCATTCTATTTTGGGTCTGCACTAGATGGTCCTTCAGTATTTCTAACATTTTATTCCTTTTTTGCATCATCACCGCCACTTCATCCCTTGATGTTGTTGTGACATCTCCTCTAATCACCGGGGGAGGATCTCTACCATAAATGGCTTTGAAAGGTGTCATCTTAATGGTCTAATGACAGTTGGTATTTATACCAATATTCAACCCAATTAAGCCATTTATGTCACTGTCTAGGCTTAGTACCTGTCATGCACCTCAAGTAGTTTCCAAACATCTGTTAATCACTTCGGTTTGCTTGTTTGTCTGTGGGTGATAAGTAGAACTGAATTTCAACTTAGTCCCAGCCAATTTAAATAATTCTGCCCAAAAAGAACTCATAAATATCCTGTCCTTATTAGAAACTATGGATTCGGGAAATCCATGCAGTTTCACCATTTCCTTCAAAAATAACTTAGCAACATCTTTGGCATTATAAGGATGAGTCAGGGCAATAAATTGAGCATATTTTGTGAACCGATCCACCACCACTAAGATTGTATTCATTCCTCCTGCCTTGGGAAACCCTCCAATGAAGTTCATGGAAACGTCAGTCCAAATTTGTTTAAGAATAGGTAAGGGTTATAATAGACCAATTGGATTTAGAGTCTGATATTTATTTTTCTAACACACATCACACTTCTGCACATACTCTTTATTGTCCCTCCTCATTCCTTCCCAAAAGAACTAATTGGCAATCTTATTAAAGGTTCTGAAATATCCAGAATGCCCCCTATTGCTTTATCGTGAAATTCTCCCATTGCTCACTTTATATCCTGGATGCCCACCCTCCTTAACTAGCAGATCTTGAAGGATCTTCTTCAATTTCTCATCCTTCTCAATTTCAGCTTCTAATTCATCCCATTCAAAGAAGTAGACAATACTCATGGCTAAAAAGTGCAGCTTCCTGGAAAGAGCATTTGCTGCTCTAGTTTATATTTAATTTCAAAGTCAAATTCCAACAACTTAGAGATCCATTTATTTTGTTCTCACTCATTAATCTTTGCTCTACTAGAAACTTCAAACTTTTTTTGTCCTATGAATAACGAAGTGCCTGCCTAACAAATAATGTCTCCATTTTTGGATGGCCAAGACCATAGTCATCAATTCTTTCTCATAAACTGATTTATTCAAAGCTCTATCGGACAGAGTTTGACTCATGTAGGCCTCGGGTTGCCCTCCCTGCATCAAAACAACTTCCAAACCTTTTCCTGAAGCATCCGCTTCCACCACAAATGTCTTTAAGAAATTCGGAGCAGCCAACACAGACACTTATGTCTTAGCTGTTTTCAACTTGACAAACACTTCTTGAGTCGAGTCATCCAATTGAACTTGTCTTTCTTTAGCCGTTGTGTTAAAGGCAACACTAATTTCCCATACCCTTCTACAAATTTTCTATAATAACACGTGAGGCCCAAGAACCTCTCAATCCCTTCACATCATTCGGAAATGGCCAGTCCAACATGTCTTTTATTTAGCAGGATCAGTCGCTACTCCTTGGCCAGAGATGATATGTCCCAAGTATTCAATATTTGTCTTTCCAAAAGAGCACTTCTTCTTGTTCACTACTAACCCATGTCTTCTCAAAGCATTCAACACAGTTCTCAAATATTCACAATGTTCGTTCATAGTCTTGCTAAATATAAGTATGTCATAAAAAAATACTAAAGTAAACTTTCTCAAATAAGGCTTCAATATTTGATTCATGAGAGCTTGGAATGTGGAAGGGGCGTTAGTAAACCGAAAAGGCATGAGCACAAACTCATAGTAACCTTCATGAGTTCTCTGGAAAAATAGATTAACTGAAATATGATATATTTTATTATTTCAATACAAAGAGATGATATAAGATATATACAAGAGACCTAAACTATTTTAGGAAATATAATAACTCTATTTTATGCTAGGATCCCTTGATTTATGGGATTGTTCCTAATTATTCAAATGCAGTACAGATTACAAGGAAATATACAAATTTCCTTATTTATTCTTTCCTAAAATACTATTTGATTTCTCACACTCCCCCTCAAGCTGGTGAATAGATGTTTTCCATTCCCAGCTTGGATACAATCTTCTCAAAATTATGGCAGCCCAGTCCCTTGGTAAGAATGTCTGCAATTTGGTCTTGAGAGGACACATATGGAGTGCATATCAAGCCACTATCAAGCTTTTCTTTGATGAAGTGTCTGTCTACTTCAATATGCTTTGTTCTATCATGCTGCACTTGGGTTGTGGGCTATACTGATTGCTGACTTATTATCACAATAGAGCTTCATAGGTTCTTCCCACTTTATCCTCAAGTCTTCTAAGATGATTTTAAGCCATAGCAACTCACATATACCTTGTGCCATGGCTCGGAATTCCGCTTCGAAGACTTGGACCAGAGCCACTACACCTGCTTTTGCTTCTCCAAGTCACAAGATTTCCTCCAAGAAAGGTGCAATATCCTGTAGTTGACCTCCTATCCACAATTGACCCTGCATAATCGGCATCGGTATAGGCTTCAAGTTTCACATTACCATTCCTTTTGAATAGAATCCCTTTTCCTGGAGTTCCTTTAAGGTACTATAAAATTACGTAGGCGACTTGTAAATGGGTCTCCTTTGGGCTATGCATAAATTGGCTAATTAAACTCACTGCATAGGCAATATCGGCCTGGTATGTGACAAATATATAAGTCTGCCTACTAATCTTTGGTACATATCTTTTTCAACGAGCAACATCTTCTTACGCATTTCCAAGCTTTAGGTTTGGTTCTAATGGGGTACTAGCAGGTTTGCAAGCTGCCTTGCCAGTTTCTTTGAGCAAATCGGTGATGTATTTCTCTTGAGATATAAATATCCCTTTCTCGGAGTGGGCAACTTCAATTCCCAAAAAATATTTTAGTTTTCCCAAAGTCTTGATCTCAAATTCCTTGCCTAATCATTGACTCAATAATTGTTGCTCTTCTTTATTATCTCCAGTTAATATTATGTCATCCACATACACCAATAATATTGTTACTCCCCACGACTTGGAATGTTTAAAAAACAAAGTATGGTCCCCTTGGCTTTGTTTGTAACCCAGACCTGTCATAACTTTAGTAAACCTGCCAAACCATGCACGAGGGACTGTTTTAACCCATATAATGCCTTTTTCAACTTGCAAACGGTGTTGGTAGCAACATCTTTACCATATCCGGAGGTATCTCCATATAGATTTCTTCTTCAAGGTCTCCATGTAGGAAAGCATTCTTAACATCAAATTGTTCCAAGTTCCAACCATAATTGGCAGCAAGGGACAATATCACCCTAACTTGTGTTCATTTTGGCAACCGGAGCAAAGGTCTCCAAATAATCAACTCCATAGGTTTGGGTAAACCCTTTGGCAACTAGTCTTGCCTTATATCTCTCAATTGATCCATCGGCCTTATATTTCATTGTATAGACCCATTTACATCCAAGCTGGCCTCTTTCCTATTGGTAAGGTGGCTAACTCCCAAGTGTTGTTTTTCTCCAATGCCTCCATCTCTTCATCCATGGCTTGCCTCCATTTTCTGTCGAACAATGCCTCGAGATAGGGTATTAGGTAGAAGTACGGTGTTTAGGTTTACTAGGAACGTTTTATGGGTAGGAGAGAAATTTTTAAAGGACGAGTAATTTGAGAGAGGGTAGAGTGGCTGTTTGGTGCATTTTCTTGTTCCTTTTCTAATGGCAATTGGGAGGTCAGGATCATTTTGGGTTTCAATTTCAACCTGCACAGCTGGAGAAAAAATTGTTACCTCTTTTTGTGGAGTCGAGTTGGATTCTTGAACATGGCTTGATCCTGGAATGGCCTTAGTCTTCCTTGAGTACACCAGCTTCTTACCAAATTTTCCAGTTTCAACATCTTCTTGATCAGCTTCACAATTAATTTCACTTTCTTGACCAACTTCCTTTGCTTGACCAATTCCTTGACTTGTTTCATTTGTTACAACTTCAATTTGATCTTCAATTTGATCTTGTTTAGGTTCAAATGTCAAGTCCGGAAGAATGGGAAAACCAAAATCACTACTTTCCTTATCTTCCACGAAACTCTCCCCTTGAAGATAAGGTTGATGGAAATAGCCCTCTTGTTCATTGAAGGTAACATCCCTAGACACAAAGAATTTTTTGGATGGGGGGTGGTAGCATTTATACCCTTTTTGAGTGGGTGAGTAACCAACAAAGACACACTTTAAGGCTCTAGGATCAAGTTTTCCCCTGTCTGTACTATGAATATGGACATATGAGATGCACCCAAAAACTCTTGGTTTAAGATTATTTGTAGTAGACAAGTTTGGATAGAAAGACGACAAAACTTCCATAGGGCTTTTTGATCCTAAGACTCTAGAGGGTAGTCTATTGATAAGGTATGTTGCTTGTAAGGACGGCTTCCCCCAGAAATTTTTTGGGACACTTTTTTGGAACAACAATGCCCGAGTCCGATTTAATAGATGTCCATTTTTCCTCTCTGCGACCCCATTACTGTTGTGGTGTTTTGACACAAGAGGACTCATGAATTATACCTTCTTTTTGACAAAAAGAATTAAGGACATGATTGAAGTAATCTTTGGCATTATCTGACCTAAGCCTCTTAATATTAACACCAAACTGATTTTTATCATGGAGTGGAAGTTTAGGAAGACAGAACCGACTTCGATTTTTGTTTAAGTAGGAAAACCCAAGTGACCCTTGTACGAGTCATCTATAAAGGTGACAAACCATCGAGTACCGAGACACATTTGGAATATTAGAAGGTCCCCATACATCAGTATGAACAAGATAAAAAGGGAAATTGCTAATTCTATTACTTATTGGAAAAGATATACGTTTGTGCTTAGCAAGTTCACACACCTCACAATGAAGACTCTCGACATCTAACTTGGTAAACGAGAGAGGGAAATATAATTTTGATCACTCCAAAAGAGGGATGTCCCAACCGACAATGATAAAGCATGATTTTTCTCTCGTTGGTCATCAAGGATTCGAGATATGAAGGAGTGAGAGATTCTATTCTTCTTGGGCAGACTTGGATCTTCGAGATAATAAAGGTCATTCCATTCTCTAGCATGTCCAATCATCCTCCCAGAATCTTTATCCTGAAATACACAATGATCATTGGAAAAAACAACTTTACATGACAAATCCTTTATAAGTTTTTGTATAGACACTAGGTTCGTGGACAACTTTGGGACATGGAGAACGTCTTTTAAGGTTATTAAAGGATTGATTTGGATATTTCCTTGACCGACTTGAGTTATAAGGGTTCCATCTGCTGTGGCAATTTTCTTGTTCTTGGGACATGGGGAATATGTGGAGAAGTGTTTGGCTAATGGTGTCATGTGATCTGTGGCTCCAGAGTCCAATATCCAATAATGGTTAAAAGGCGTATACGAGACATTTAATCCAAAAGAAGGTGGAAACTTACCTGAGTATGCCAAAGAACACATACACTGTAGGTTTTTCCAGCTTACTAAGAATGGTTTTCACCCTTTCTATCTCCTCTTCCCTTGACATTATAGCAAAAGGTGCGATGCAACAACAATGCAGGTCGTCGTCTTAGGATTATGAAAAATGCAGCGAGCAATGCGGTGTCGTCTTAGGATTAAGAAAAATGCAGCGAGCAATGTAGGCTGTCGTCTTAGGGTTAAGAAAAATGCAGCGACAATGCAGGCTACCGTCTTAGGGTTACAAAATATGCAGCGGCAATGCGAGTCTGCCGTCTTAGGGTTTATCGAGCGCAGACAGAGCTTCCTAGATCGAAAGCTCTGATACCATCTGGAAAAATAGATTAACTGAAATATGATATATTTTATTATTTCAATACAAAGAGATGATATAAGATATATACAAGAGACCTAAACTATTTTAGGAAATATAATAACTCTATTTTATGCTAGGATCCCTTGATTTATGGGATTGTTCCTAATTATTCAAATCTGTACAGATTACAAGGAAATATACAAATTTCCTTATTTATTCTTTCCTAAAATACTATTTGATTTCTCACAAGTTCTAAAAGTTGTTTTAGGGACATCATCTTCTCTCATGCATATTTATGATATCCCGACTTCAGGTCCAATTTCGAAAACACCTAAGCTCCTCCCAACTCGTCCAGAAGTTCATCTATGACAGGTATAGGAAACTTATCCGGTACTGTCATCTTGTTTAAAGCTCGGTAACGCAAAACTGTCATCCCCCCTCTTTCTTCCTTACGAGAATCACTGGACTACTGTAAGGGTTGTTGCTAGGCCTTATAATTTCAACAATCATCATTTCCTTCACAAACTTCTTAATCTCATTCTTTTGGTAATATGGTTACCTATAAGGCCGTGTATTTGAAGGATCAACACCTTCCTTGAGAGTGATAGCATGGTCACAAGCTCTCTTGGGAGGTAAGTCTGTAGGTACTCTGAATATGTCCTTAAATTCTACTAGGACAGTCACTAGCTCCTCATTGGAAGTGAGACCTCTTTCTGACACATTGCCTAAGGGTGCTTAATATGACAACCTTGAGAGTGATAGCATGGTCACAAGCTCTCTTGGGAGGTAAGCCTGTAGGTACTCTGAATATGTCCTTAAGTTCTACTTGGACAGTCACTAGCTCCTCATTGGAAGTGAGACCTCTTTCTGACAGATTGCCTGAGGGTGCTTAATATGACAACATATATCCTTCTCTTTCATTGTTAAGAGCTTTCATCATCGCCTTCCATGAAGTCTGTGATTTACACAATGTAAAGTCCTTTCATGATCTTCTCCTCCCCTTTTATTCTCCAACTCAACACTAAATGCCGGAAATTAGCTCTCACATTCCGCAAGCTTGCTAACCATTCCATCCCTAACACCAAATCAGTCCCTCCCAACTCCATAAGATAGAATTGTTGCACAATTGAAATACTTTGAATCACCACTTCCAATTATTTACATATTTCTTTATTCACCACCTTGTCCCCTATTCCTACTTCAACCTCAAACTCCCTTGTATTACTCACTTCTAATTTGAGATGCTGAACTAATTTCTTTGAAACAAAATTGGCCAAATTCCACAATCCACTAAAACCAATACCTCCATTCCTCAAATTCTCCTCGTTACTTTGAAGGACCGATTAGAGGTCAGTCCTTCCTTGCTTTTCAATGAAATCTACAAGATTTTACCCCTTTTTCCTCCTCTCCATCACTAATTTCAGATTCTTCACCCTAGGAGTCCTCCACCAATACAATTTGATAGTGTTTCAATTTGCACACATGATCTTTTCCCCACGTTTCTCCATATTTAAAACATAACCCATTCTTACTTCTTTCTCGCAGCTCCGCTTGAGACAATTTTCCTACCCCTAATGTCTTATTTTCAAGAACTTCATTCTCATTCACTTTACTGCTTGTCCCCCCTCTTTACTTCCTCCTTTCTCCCACCTAGTGAAGCCTTTTGCTTGTTTCATAAAAGGTCTCTCCCCTGTCTTTTTCTTTGCATCCATCAGCCCAACCATACGTAAGGCATTGTTCTTCTCTTCTAGCAATAATGTTTTATCCATCAATTCATCCAATGTCCCAATAGCGTACAATTTTAATTCAACTTGAATCTCTTCTTTCAAGCCATTAATAAAAATACCCTTCAGCATAATTCTTTCTTCAAAGGAGTCGATTCCCTTTCAAACTTCTCCCTGTATTTCATTACTGAACTAGTTTGTTTAATACTCTGCAACGGACCAAACTGGTTTTGTACTAACCCTGGTTGAAAACGCCTAATCAAGGGCCCTTTAAATTCTTCCCAATTCAGTTCCGGACTCTGTTCTTCCCACCACTGATACCAACTCAACGCCTTATCCTCCAGGGTGATAACCACAGCGTCCAGTTTCTCTTCATTGTGCACCATGTTCAATTTGAAATATATTTCAGCTCGAACTACCCATCCATATGCGTCGTCACCTCTGAATATGGGAATCTTCAACTTGCTGCCCCCAAATCGCACGACGAGTCACGACTCATGTTTCGCGTGGTGGGGCGCAAACTATCTTCACTCTTGACTTTGCCATCGTCGTTCCCGCTCCGCCTCCGATGTGATTGTCATTTGTGTGATCTGCCACGACAAGACTTGCTACGTTAAATGATCAAATTCCTTAATTTGACAAGCTGCTGTTGAAGGTCTTCCATATGCTTGTCCATTGTGTTTCTTGTAAGCATCATGCACTCCCAGAATCGAGTGCTCTAGATACCACTTGATAAGAACCCAATAAAACAGTAATGAATAAGAGATGAAAATTCCTCGTGTTAATTCAGTATCCGAAAACAAAGAGAAAAGACATTCCTCTTCCCCCAAAAGAGCTAACCCCAGATTGTGGTTTTCTGTTCCCCAAAAACCAGCCACCCTCTCTCCCCCAAACATCCACCTCTCCTATACTCTCATTGCCTATTTCTCTCTCCAAACAGACACGTAGGCAATTCTGTTAGAAACAGAATCATAGTGCGTGTGCCTGTGGATCCCTTGCAATGGGTTTCCACTTCTTCCTCTCATACACATTTTGGGCCTTCCTAATTTGCCCCTCTTTGCTTGTATCAATCACCCATCATCATTTCATTATAAGCTGGTAGTTATAAAATGTATGCGTGTATGTGAGATGAATTTTTTTCATTTCATTAATAATGCATCTTGCTTGCGCAAAATTTACATTTCTATTTAACAAAAATGCACTATATCAAAGATATCAGAAGTATGCAACCATTTTCTTTTTCCTTTTCACATGAGCGCAGCTTGAGAACCCCAGAATGCTTTAAAACTTAATGTAGCTTATGAAATTAAAGGACTTGTTTCCTTTACAATTTAAACTGAATTTCAAAGCTATGTCAAATTAAAATTATAAAGTAAAGAAAAAAATAAAAAAAATTGGCAGGAAATAGTTACCACTGAAAAAAAAAAAATACAATTATATAAAGGAAAGGCATCAACCTACCTGCAAACTAAAGAGGTACCACCAGGACCCAACAATGTGGCCAGATAGCATAAAGGTAAAAAGATTTATAAAGAAATTGGCCTGTGGAGACTCAAATACGAGTCCAGCTGGAGAAAGTAGCATAGGAAGAAACCTAAACAATCTGGGAATATACTGAACAAGGATCACAATACACAAAATGTTATTTGCATAGTTTGCTCCTGATGACCCTGTCTCCAAGTGCTTTGGTAGGACAAATAAAATGAATATCTGCAAATATTTCACAGAATTATAGCATGATGAGGAGTTCGACAAGTATACGATTATATACCCAAAACTGCTTCTATCTTCATAATAAATTGTATACACCCAAAATTAGTAACAAGGAATGAAATCAGACAATTCCCATTATTTTGTACTGTAGGTTGCATACTTGAAGATAAAAAAATCACATTAGAATACCTTGAAAATAAGCTAAAAGGGAAACGGAGAAATTTACCTGAGGAAGTGGAAATACAACAAATAAGTCAACAAAAAAAGATGTCTTCATGTAATGAAGAGCTATTTTCTTAGGATGGTCTTCTAACTCCCCAGCACCAAACACCCTAGACTCAGGAACCACATAAGCCAACCTAAACTGCAGGCGATCATGGCGAAAGAATTAATTGAGCTCTGTCGCATCAGAGTAGAGTACCAACCTAGACTTTAGAACAAATAAAACTAGACTAAAGATTCAAGACCATCACTCTTCTCTATTGGTACCAACATAACAGGCACACTATGGTCTCAATCTCTATTCACTAATCATAGTTGAGATTGTTACATGAAGCTCACACGAAAGAAATTGGTACAAAATGGAAGCCAAATTATAAAGTCAGTATAAAAATTTAGCATACTCTCCAAGTAGATTCTTAGGTTGCTTTCAGTAACATCCATCATATTATGTTATATCCTCTTAGTTTCTTACAGACAGTAAACATGAAAAAAAATTAAAACTTGTACACACATTTCTCAAAGTAACAATATAGAACTCTTTAATAACAGAAAAAAAATAGTTAAACAATTACAAAGGAATAAACAACCCTTAAAAATTCTTAAAAGTTACCTGAAGAACAATATTTAGGAAGTGTATGAAATCATTCATGCTTCTAAGTGCAACAAGTATTTTGGTCAAAGCCAAGTTTATAACAATACATTTATTTTCCTGCATAAAAAAAGCCAGAAAACTTAGAGCACTTTAGTAAATACACTGGACAGAGAATGAAAGACAAGTTAATAATTTCAACAGAGACAACATGAATCACATAATGATTATTACTTGAATTACGATCCAATAAACCAACGGGGGGAACACCTATAAATTAACTTCCTTCTTGTGCAAAGACAACTTAGGTCATTAAGACAATAAATGAGCCAATAATTTTGTTTGGCAATATTGTAAAACATATTAACTCCATTATTAATATATCTGCTTCGCAAATTAAACTTGATTTCCTGGATATTTCTATCATCCTGCCTTCTTTATTGTAAATCACTCATGCCTATATTTTTGTTTGAGGCATATATCCAACACAATCCAGCCTATATAACAAATTTAAAGGACAAGGTTCGATCCAAGTTTGATCTCAACAGGAAATTGATGAATGTTTCTTATCATGTCATAGGTTATATTATTCCCATTTATAATAGTGAGATGTAAATAGCCACTTTATAAACACGAGTACGAAGCAGGTTATTAGGCTTTTCTAGTATGCAAAACACTATCTCATAAACTTAAATACAATTGCTAATATATAAAGTTTCAACAGATATAGATTTGGTTTATATGGAATAAAATCAGATGAAGACATCAAATTCTAAGGTGTCTTGACAAGCTGGAGTGCTTCTTGACTATCTTAACTTACAAGAATCACTATGTCATTGATATAATTATTTGTTGTGAAGTGATCAGAGCTTTATATTGGTAAACAAAGATTATTAACTAACAGATACAACATGCAATATTTTGAATCAATGTAAAGGGGATAAAGCATACCTTCTTTACAGAGAGCAAATAGAAAAATAATGGATCCACAGCAATTGCCACCAAGCAACAAATTGCAAAAAATTGATTCCATTGTTGTACAAGTTTATTGTGAGGATTCATAACTCTAGGAACATGGGGAACCAAGAAAGTAAAAAGTCTTTTGGCCCAATCCCTCGCATCCCCATAAAGAGTATTGCCAAACTGAAAATTCAAAGTTGAGATTCATTGAGTAGATGGAGCTAATACTGTCGAAGTGATTCATAAGAACAGATGTCCACAAATGGCAACCTAGATTTCAAAATTTGAAAGCTTATTACCCACATAACCAAAAGAAAGACCATAATTTCTGTATACATATACATGCATCACAACATAACATGTAATTCCCTTTTAGGTCCAACACATAACAACTCCAAATCTTATTACCTTATGAAGAAATATTTTATGGAAACAACAAGAAAACCCTATATGAGCATCAAAGTAGTTCAAAATAAAAATAGCATACACCATAATATAATGTATAAACATAGAAACCTTTGGCTTCTTGAGAATTTGTAGTTTCAAATAATGACCTAGACAACACTAGAGAATCATCACATTATAAAATCATATGTAACTCTTATAATTAAACTCAACAGTAGAAACATACACATGTAGTATAAAATTCTTAAGCATGATACATTAAAAAACTTAAGAACCTTGACACACAAAGTGTAATCTAAGGAAACTTCAATACGTAGTAGCCATTAGCTTCTTAGGAAAAAAGAAAGGATAATTTATTTTATACCTTAGGATTAAATATACCCGAAGTTTTTGAATTACTTTGCTGAGTAGCCTTGAAGTAAGTTGGGCAAGTTGTACAATATGGATCACTACACATTCCCAGTGGACCGGACCTAACTAAATGTTCATTCTTGCCAGCATAGTTGTTCTGCAAATCATTTTCACCCATGTCACAGCATGAAGAAAAATTCTCTGTCTTATTTTCTTCTGCTTGTGACTCAGGTGCCACTTTATACCGTCGGAAAAGGTTTCCAGGTCTATTAGTGATATGTAATGGACCACTCATCTGATCATATGGAGTTATTCTCTGAATCTGTAGTGGACCAGTGTATCCCACAAGATTAGTATCTCTTTCATATGACTCTGTGAGTGACGTAGGAATAGAAATTGATACACTTCGAGTCCTAGGCACAAGCCTTGGAAATTTAGAATCAACAACTTCAATTGATTGTTGGGGATGTGACAGACTTGGCATCTCATCTTCCTCAAAACTAGCCATGTGTTCTGCAAATTGAGAAAACATTCAATATCTACATTTTTATGTCAAAAAAGTGATCTCAAGTTCAAAACTAATTCAACCTATGCACAAAACAATGAATAAATAAAAAGGACACGAAACATATAGAGCGGCAAGAAAAGCATCCGAAGATACAAGGAATCTCTTTCACACACACTTTACAGTCCATACAGTTAAGACTCAAACTGATGTTGGAACAATGGAACGTTAAGGTCAAAGAGATGACATAATGGTGAGAAAAAACGAGCAAAAACAACAATCAAAGATTTTATTGGTGAGTTCATTCTTCTTCAGTTATGGTTTTTTTCTTTAAATTAATTTTGGAAACTCCCCCCATCCCCACTCATGTACTGCCTCTTTTCCTACTCTTCACAAAATCCCATCACCATCAAGAAAAAATAAATGAAAAACAAAACAAATCCAAGAGCTTTTGTGAGAGCACCAGTAAGAAATGAAGAGAAAAGTAAAGGATGAACTACAAGTGTAATTAAGCACAAGCCACCACAATCTTAACCCCACCACCAACCAAGTGAACATAATCTCAATCTCCTAAAAGTGGGTTATTTTCCAGGGAACAACACTGTTATTTCAGCTTTTAGAACTGTGAAATCATCAAACACCAAACGAACATGGTGATAGGCACTAGCCCACGAAGAATCCATGCATGGTATAGTAAGAGTGACCAAAGCAAGCAAAAGGGTATGAAAAAGTAAATGAATAAAAGATGGATTCCATTTCCAAGTATCGGACAACAAGGATACTAAGGGTGAGACCTGTGTAAGGTAGCAAAATACTCAGAAGTCAGAACCCCCCCCACTAACTGTTGAAGGTGTCACAATGCAGGCATTTGAAAGCACGTAATGGCACAAGAGGAGCTGATATATAGGTCCAAGATCATGAGTGAGAAAGAGAGAAAAGGTGACTGAGTCTAGTCTTTAGTCTCTGGGGCAACTTTCACGAAACAACGGTGTGAACTAGCTAACAGAAATCAGAAAAGCGTTTTGACAACCAAATAACTCTTCAAATATCTCATTTTTATTAATATAATAATTTATAAATTGATTTAATAAAAATAAAATAAAACTATTATTATAATATTAAAATAGAATTATTTATTTAAATTTTTAAAATATCATTTTCCATCACAAAATAAACAACTCCAACCATGACATATCATTGTTTTGTTTCCCTTACATGTGTGTCTCTTTCCCCGACACTTTCCTGTTTGCCCCTTTGTTACAACCATGTTCCTTAGCTTAATGATATTTTAATAAATATTTTTGTCCAATCAAATATAACAAAGATGAAAATAACATTATAAAAGCTTACTTTTTCAGGGTAAATACTTTACAGTATTAATTAATATTTTAAGTATTATAAATAGAATCATTATTATAAAACTTAAACAAAGATGTTTATAATATTTATTATAAGGTTTCCTTAATTCCTAATATAAAAAATATAGAATTATTTATTTTTTCATATAAGCTAATAGGTGACCGTACATGGGTACTACCAAATGTGTTTGCTTGTATATATTTATCCATTAAATTCAATTTTGTTCTCATTGTATAACATGATTATTTAATAATTAAACGATAATAATATTAGATCAAAATTATTTAATTTAGAAAACTAAAATTATTAAATTGTATTCAAAAGAAATAAAAGTACATACACTGGAGTGTACAGTACATTTACCTAATATTTTGTGTAGGTCCGGCCGGTTATCTGAAATAGACAATGGAATGCGAAAGGACACGTGGCTTATTTTTAAATGCTGATATTTAAAAATAATGAAGAAGGTACTCCTGACAACACACGAGTCTAACGCCGTGAATTAATAAACGTTGAGATGGATGTTTATGATAAGTTAAATTCTTCTATTTTTTATTATTAATTATTAAAGGATGTAAAATTATATTATAATTAAAAATTTAAATATAGAAAAACTAAAATAGCATATAATAATAAGAGGAGCAACGTTATGGATAAAAAAATTAAAAAGAGACCAAAATTATGATTTTGTTCAATAATTACTCTCATTCATTAAAAAAAATATAATTTACACTTACGTAGAAGGATTTCTTTTTTAATATTATTTATATAAAATATTATTTAATAAAAACATTACTCAAATAATTTCACTTTTTATATTTCTTATAAATATAAATACTGGTGAAATCTATTAAGAGATCGATTAGAAATTATAAGAAAAAAGTATTTCATTAAAACTAACAAACAGAGTAGGTTAGTATAGAATTTAATAAAAAATAAGAAAATAAGTAATTATTTTAAAAATTAAATAAAATTACAGCAGTTTTAGAGAACAGGAGAAGAGCATTTAGCATTTAATTACATTAATTTCACTTAAAATAAATATATTTCCTAAATTATCAAATTTGTTTATATTTAAGATCTAAGATAATATATATATATATATATATATATATATATATATATATTCATAGGAAAAAGTAGTTTAAAAATCCTATTGATAGTTATTTTTCATTGTTTAATAATGTAAAAAAAAAATGAATTTGTCAGTCCTACAATAAGATTTTTATGGTAAAAATCAATAAATATCTATAAATGTAAGCAATTGAGTCATCACTAAACTCTCCAATAATGAATATTTTCTTCCATCTTACTTACAAAAACAAAATCTTCACTCTAATTAAGATTTTTTTTTTGTTTTTGTATAATTTTATTACCCAAATCTCATTTTTTTTATTTTAAATTTATCTTTCACTAAGTTTTGATAAAAAAAAAAAAAAAGTCACAGAAATAAAATTTCAATTAAATTGAATAGTTTGAGAGTATTTGTCATTGACATATAGTTTATAAAAAGAAATTTGAATGTTATTCTGCTTCTGTGTCAAAGATTAGAATTAGAATATACAACCTTTGACTTTGGTGTCTACATTTGTACATCAAAAAGTGGTTCAGTGCAATAAAATAACCCTAAGTTTTGTTGAACATAATAAATTATGATAGTAATCAATATTAGTTATTTCTTTTCTTATGACTTGAAGTCAAGACTTCGTGGTTATAATTTCTTTAATTGAGGCAAGTAATTAATACTTAAATTATGATCAGTTTGGATTAATATTAAAAGTTATATTTTTTATTATTTATTTTTAATAATTAAAATTATTATTATTATTATTATTTAAAACATTATATTACTTAAAAAATAATACATAAGTACAAGATAAATCTCTTTATTTTTTAAAATGAATAAATATTTCATTTTTATATAAAGTTATTGTTTTGTTTTTCATTTGAAAACAACCCAAAAATAAAAAAATGTTATCAAATACTATTTTAATTGAAATATATTTTCATTATTATATTTCTGAATATAACATCCGCAAGAATACATTTGCGTGGGACAAATGGTGCTGACTAACAAGTTTGAAATTTTTTGAAGTTATTTTCTCGGAACTAATCTTTTAAATGTTGTTGAAAACTCAGAGGGTAGAGCGTGTTTATTCATCTGTATAATTAATTTTTTTAAAATATTTTATTATTATTTAAATATATCTTCTTCTTTTTTCATCTAATTATATATATATATATATATATATATATATTCTCAATAAATATTTTTTTTATATTATAATTTATTATGTATTTTTATTTTTCTTGATCTGATAATAAAAAAGTAGTTAAAAAATATTTTCTTTATGTATTATCACAAATACTATATAACACTAATATTGTTTATAATAAGATTTTTTTAAGTTACAAGTCAAACCATTTCATCATTAGAATTTGACAGTCATTGGAAAAAAATGTAGAAAATAAATTATTTTTATATAAAATTTAAATATTTATTATAAAATATTTTATTTAAATATTTTAAAAATTTAAAATTAAAATTTAATAAATTAATCTGATTATTTAAAATTAAAATTTGTGAAGTTTTATACAGTAAAAATTTATAATATTTCTTATTTTATTATTTATCAAATTTATATTATTTATTCTCGTATTTAAATTATTATAAAATTATTTTTCATTTTTTATACTATTTCTAGTTATTGTTAGGGTTTTTTATGTATTTTTCTTCAAATAATTTATTTTAAAATGAATTTACAAAATTTAACGAGTAAAACTTATTGGAATTTCAGGTTAATATTTTATAATATTTTATTTTGATTTTATGCAGGATAAAGTGAAAATAACTTCCACATAGTTAACAGTTATATATATAGTAAATTTTTTAATATAGTGTAATTGTTCTTATGATATTTTAATTCTAATTAATACACTATTTTTAGTCTTTTATAACTTCTCATTTAAAATTAGTATCTTATTTTTTTTGTAATTGTTATTAAGTTTTCTCATTAATTTTTAGTGTAATTTGTGATTTATTTATGTATATGCAATTGATAAATCATAAAATTTTCTTTATTCATATTTACTCTTTTCTTTTTAATATTTTTCCTTTTAATTATTTTTTCATAAATAATCTAAAAATAAAAATTAATTAATTAAAAAATATATTTAATTTTTTTAGTTAATAATATAATTTACTTTATAACTATATGAAATATATATTTTGAATAAAATAAATCTTTAAATATATTTTAAATAATTAAATATTTTTTAAAATTAAATTATTTCTTTAATTACTTGGAAAATATTATTTTTTTATTATAAACATTATAAAATTTAGTATTTTAAATAAATAAATAATTTTTATTTTAGTTTTAATATTTTTTTCATATTCAATAAACTACTATATATTTTTACTACAAAATCAATTATTTTTCCCAAATTAAAATTCCAAATCTTAAAAATAATTAAATATATTATTAATAAATTAATATATCTTCAATTAAATTATAACATTATCATTTTTTTCAAAAAATATTATAAATAATTAAAATCTGAATAATTCATTAGAAAAATGAATAATAATGTCTAATATAATTCAACGATATTAGAAAGATTTGAAAGTTGATCATAAAAAGTATTCTCTAATTAATTAAGTAAATTATTTAAAATTTTTAAAATATTTAACAGTTTAAAATATAATTTTTTTAATTATTTTATTTATATCTAAATTAAATTATGTTATTATTTAAAATAAATAGTTGATTATATTTTAAAACATCTAAATAAAAAATACTAAAAATGTTAACATATTAGTAAATATGAATCCCATCCCATGATACTAAATAGTCTTCAGTTAACAAGCTGTATTATATTGATGGTAAATACCCATTAACGCAAATTTTGACATCCTTAGTCAAACACACATTCAAAATGCTCTATTTCACTTGCTTGAAACCCAAATTAAAAAGCTTTAAAAATTTTACATTTTAGAAAATCTTTGAAATTTAATCAAACTTTCAACTTCAAGACATTTTAAATCATTTTTATATTTTAAATCAGTTTTAGGATTATCTTGGACTAGTTGTGGAGTTATAGAATCTTAGGCAATAATTGACAAGTAGGTTTAGACCCATTTGTGCCTTATCTCTCTCATATTCCCATAACTTGTAAGTTTTATAAAGAATAAATGCACTCTAACTTTTAGAACAAAATTGAGTGGAATAAATGGGAAATCTTACACCTGTTTAATTTCTTTGCAAAAGTGGGCAGAAATGAACAATGAGAAGGTTTGTTAATTATAGTATAATATAATTATAGTATTAATTAAACAACAACAATTTCATAGTTTAGTATAAATGTACATATATTTCGTGGTAATAAAGACAATAAATTTTCTAATTATCAGGTATTAGTTCACTTTGTCCTCAAAAGTACACCCACACTTTACAAGATTCAAACCCAATCGAATTATGACTACAGAGAGAGCACTCATATCTATGCACTGATACTTCTGAATTTTTAATGAGAACATATAGAAATGAAAACCAACAGGCTCATTTGCCTTAGTTCTTAAAAAGACAACTATGTTTTCTGAATGTATGCTTCTCAGCTGAATCATATACAAGTTGAGAGTAGTGTGTTACTAATGAACCAACCACATAACGGGGATAATCAAAGCTCAAAAATCAACTGTAGCCAAGCAAGTCAAAAGATTCAGCAATAAATGAACAATATCTCATGAAATTGTCAATGGATGCTTCTTCAGTAAGAGAATCCCTAAATTCACATTGTGATGCAGCAGAAGTAAACCAATCACGTCTCCAAAATTCATAAAGACATCCTTAAACGGTGCCTTCACATCCACACAAAGTCACAGACAGTTGAAGAACCGACATTTATTATGATAAATATTTTAGTCCCTTGAGAAATCCCAATGTAAACAGAAGAAATCACATGCTCTGCTCCAGAGAAAATAAATTCTGGAAGGTTTTGAGCCTATGGAGGAGACTCTGAGTGAGGAGAAGCATCACAGACTAAACGAGTTTGAATCTACTAATTTATGTGAAATCAGGTATCTACCACTAGCATAGTGACCCTTGTAAAGGAAAATCTACAGAATCAGGCCTCGAGTTCTCAGAAAAACAGCCTAGATGATCTGTTAACCCTAAAATGGTTGTTGGAGAAGTAGGTGGTTTGGCAATTCAATATACAGTTTTCTTGGAATCTTCCTCATCAACCGGTTCAGGCCTTGAAAAGGAGGGTCCATGTCAAAGGAAGAGACACAACAGCATTAACATGTAATAGCTTCACAGATACTCTAGTGTCAACCATTAAGAGGCTTCCAATAATAGAAAAAAGAAAAATACTTAGGCAAGTAATAATGTTGATGTTCCTCAAATCTTCTTCTCGCATAGTTGCATAGTCCTGAAAGTTGTCTCCCCTCCATCAGGCTGGTATAAATCTTGATTACAAAAACAAAGGGAAGTGAAGAGAAAATTTGGCCACTGAGAATTATTCAGGTTCCAATCACCACAAGATGAAGTTACACATATTTTTACTCTCAAGATGCTAAACTCCATGGCATCAAATTCTTGACAATGCAAATAATCTTGATTATGATACATTCTGTGATCTACAGGATGGACCCATGGCAGAGAATTGACCCCTCTTCAATATAAGTTACAAGTCCACATAAAATCATGGGCAATTTACCAAAAATCTCCACAAGAACAAACACCATCTTTGAAATGGTGAAAACGATTAGTGTCCCTAATATAAATTTCTCTTCCTTCCAATCTGCTTATTACTTTTATCACAGCATGGCAGTCATCACATATTCTCAGGTTCTTAATCACTTGAAGAGGTTGTCCTGGACTTGTGTTGAGTAGTCCTAATACGACAGCTAACTTCTCACTATGCCCACACAAGATCTGCTCCTTATCCTGTTCCTCCACATCTTGCAGCACAATTTTAGTCTTGGGGAGGTAACCAGACTTCTTCATCTCCATATTCAATTTATCCAATTTCTCCAAGATATCTTTCATTTGTGGATGTGATTGGTCACCAGCAAGAAGCATGTGCACTTTGTGTCCAACTTCAATCCAACTATAGCCAGGATTTTTCCTCAGTCCCTTATTTTTCATCATTTTACGTATTCTATTTTCTTCATCCCACAAGCCCTTTGAGGCATAGATATTGGACAAAAGAACGTAGTTCCCAGGGTTGGCTGGTTCTAACGGGAAAAGCTTCTCTGCAGCAATCTCACCTAAATTCAAATTATTGTGAACTCTGCAAGAACTTAGCAAGGCTCCCCATACACAAGCATCAGGTTCAAATGGCATTTCCTTAACGATAGAGTAAGCCTCTTCAAGTTTCCCAACACGACCGAGCAGTGTCACCATGCAAGCATAATGTTCCATTTTAGGCTCAATGCCATGTGCTTTGTACATACTATTAAAATAATGCCACCCTTCTTCAGTCAAGCCATTTTGCGCACATGCTGATAAAACACACGTAAACGTGATTGAATCCGGCTTCTGGCCACTCTGCTGCATCATATGAAACATCTCCATTGTTTCCTTAGCCTTCCCATGCATTGCATACCCACCCATAACAATATTCCACGAAACCAAATTTGGGGCCAACATATTGTCAAAACAACGCCGGGACAACTGAATTCTCCCACATTTGGCATACATATCTATCAACGCGCTACCTACATATACATCATAAAAAATCCCTCTTCTGAGAGAAAAACAATGAATTTCCTTTCCATGTGTCAATGCTGAAATATTCCCACAAGCAGGAATCAAGCTTGGGATTGTCACAGCATTAGGCTCCACCCCAGAAGCCTGCATATCTCTAAAAAGCTGCAAAGCCTCCAAATCCTTGCCATTCTGGGAACAACTAGCAATTATTGACGTCCATGTCACAACATTCAACTCCATTACTTGGTCCTTCAACTTGTTAAACACCTCTAACGCAGCGTCAACCATACCATTCCGCGACAAGCCGGTAAGAAAAGCATTCAAAGACCCAATTTCCATTTCCTCCACTTCATCAAACACCCTACGCATCTCCTTCACACAGCCACATTTCCCATACATATCAAGCATGGCACTAACCACATACTTATCACATCCCAACCCCTGCTTGATCACATAACCATGAACCTGAGATCCCATCACCACATCCTCCAAGCACCCCACAGCAGGAAGCACAGACGAAACAGTACTCGCGTCAGGCCAGAACCCTTCCAACAACATCACCCTAAACATCCCCACCGCCTCATCATACAACCCACTATTTCCAAACCCAACAAGCAAGCCATTCCACGTTACCAAATTAGGCTCCACCCCACAACCCCTCATCTCACTAAAAAGCCTTCTGGCATCATCCACAAGACCAAGGCGCGAGTACCCAGCAACCATGGCACTCCATACAACCACATCTCTTTCAGGCATTCTGTCGAACAGTTTCCTTGCATCCACAATGCGTTCACATTTGAGGTACATGTGGATCAACGAGGAGGCCACGATGGAATCTGAGACAAACCCAGATGCCTCGGCGAAGGCGTGAACCTGTTGGCCCTGGTTTAGGGCGTGAAGGGAAGCGCAGGACTTAATGACGGTGGGGAGGAGGAAGGCATCCGAGGCGAGACCGCGGGGGGCGAGGTGGGAGAAGGTGGTGAGGACGTGGTTCAAGTGGGAGGAGCGGGAGAAGGCCTGTATGAGGGAGGAGAAGGAGAAGAGGGTGGGGTGGGGGACGTGGGAGGAGAGGGTGAGGGAAAGTTGGGGGGTGGAGAGAGAGAGGGTATTGGCGTAGAGAGAGAGGAGGGTGGTGGTGAGATGGGTGTCGGAGAAGAGGTTGAGTTTGAGGATCAAGGCGTGGGCTTGGCGCCCCTGCAATAGTGTGGCCGTGGGGGAGGACAGACATTGGGAGAGGGCGTGGCTGTGGAACATAGCACACTCACTGAGGTTTTCCGATGCTGACTGGGTTTTATGTCTGTCACTGTTAGTCTTGGTGTTGGTGCAATGTGGTGGGTGATGTGTGACGATGGATTTGGGATTCAAACAGGAAAAGGTCAGAGGAGGAACTAGGCTTGGGTTTATTCAAAAAAAAATTGTGACTTTTTTTTTAATAACGTACATAAAAAAAATTCATACATTTTATTTTTATTTTAATAATTGTTTTTTATATGTTAAAAAATGAAATATATTTAAAAAATGAGGTTTAAATTATTTAAAAAAATTAAAAATAATAAGTTATTAATTTTAAAATCTGGTTATATAAATTTAATGAAGTTTTGAGAAAAATTGATATAAATATTAAAATTTATGAAAAGATATAATGGAAAAAATGTAATAATTGTTAATAAATTATGTATAAAATTTGGAGTAGATTATTATATGATTATTTAGTTGTATATTTTAATAATGGAGATAAACAGATTAGTTAATTAATATAATTGTATATTTTTTAAATTTTAAATAAATATTTTAAATTAAATTTGACATTAGAATAGTTAGATATGTTATCAAATGTATTAATTGTCCTCGACGAAAATCGAGTGTGATAAGTTATATTAAAATTGTGATATATGTGTTATAAAGTTGTTTAATAAAAAGAATTATATCTTAATTATTAATTATAATTTTTTTATTTAATAATAAACATTCTATCCGACATAAATATTCACATATTAGGAAAAAAATGCCTTAAAAAAGTTATTTAACAAGAAAGTTTGTTCAATCTTATGAATATAATGGCACTAATGTTAATTAACACCTAATAAACCGATTTTGGTTCAATTTTTTTTAAAATATTATTTATTAAATTTCAGTTAAAACCTTCTTATATAATATATATATATATATATATATATATATATATATATATATATATATATATATATATATATATATATATATACTCAATGATTAACTGATAGGACACATACTAACCTATCCTCCAAAAAAATAAAGTAGAAATAAGAGTGACTCCGTTTGTTATAGTTTTTATTAGAAAAGAATACCTTTTTGAAAAAAAATAACATGTTTGTTTTGTTTTTTATGTTTAAATTTATTTTAAATAGGTCTTTATAAAATCAGTTATTATTTTTATATTTGTAAAAAAAATTATTAGCTTTTTAAAAAATGACAAAACTATTGTACGTTTAAAACCACTTCTTTTTTGTCTTGTTGTGAAAAAAGCTTACAAAAAAGAGTGTGTTTTTGTTGGGACGAGATAATCCAATCCAATCATAATTTTGATGTGATTGTTTGATGAAAAAAAAGTCGCAATGGGAAAGGGGTGGCTGAAAATTTGCAAAAGCCATGGTGATAACTTGGTGAATGTGGTGCAGTGTTTTCTGGATATTTACTTTTTTCCGCATATTTGTGAGTAGGTGTTTCCACTAATATCACTTATATCTTTTAATTTAGATAAATTTGTATTTGTATTCATTTAGACGTGAGTTTTATATAGTTGGAAATCTTTTCATTAGAGCGAACAAAGACCCTAAAAAAATTAGGGTAAAATAATATAAATAATTATTCACGTGAATTAAAATTATAAATTTTTTTATTATATAAATAATAACACAAAACTTGTTTTTTTTTTATATTTCTTATTTATAATTGTATTATCTCACTAAAGTATTTTGTGAGTAGATTAAAATTATTATTATTTAATTATTCTATATTTAATTATATCAATCATATTAATTACAATAGATCTACTTCAAATTTATTATTTTTCGTTCAATCTAAATAATTTTACGAATTGATTCAAATCCAATCCAAACATATTTTTAACTTGTTTGTTTATATCAACATTTTTTTAATATAATTCTAATAAACTTTTTGAAGAAAATTATTAGTATTAATTAGAATAATAAATGCATATTTTTAAGACCTTTAAATATTGTTGTGTCACAAATATTCTTTAGGAATATAATTATATATATATATATATATATATATATATATATATATAATGTTTCAATTCTATAATTAAAAAATGAAATAAAATATTTCCCTGGTTGTTGGGTGACTCCAAATTAATTATATATAAATTTGTTTAATATGCTTTGGACCTCATACATTTGTTAGAATAATGGATGAACCACGACTTATAGTTGAAATGGAGACCAAAATCATGCACAGAAGTGACATCAAGGTGTTCACTTGTCACCACGTGGGTCCTTTCCTCAACTACGTGGTGCAATTTCTGAACCTGATTACCTCATGCATAGTAATATGTGAGATCTTTTTAAAATCTAAAATAATACACCTAAATTTTGTTAACTGCGATGAAGTAATAGTCATGGTTCGTTAAGTAAAAATGTAACATAATTAACAAGATGAAAAATTAGTAGAAAATGGAATAAATGAAGAAGTAACTTAATTAGAAAGAGCGAAAAAGAAAAAGTGAAAGCTACATGAAAATACAAGTATGAATATTATTATGGTTGAAAAGTGGTGAAGACATAGCTAATATGGTAATCTTAAAGGAGAATTTTTTCTTAACATGATTGAAGGGTTATCCTTCTGGATTCTACCCAAATAGAACTGTTAAGGTGCTTCTTCTACTATAACAGAAGAGAATACTCCAATCTTCTACTATAAGTAGTGACCCTCTCTCTTCATAGTTTTGAGTTTCAAACTTTCGGATCCATAATGGTGATCACATCCACTGCCACACACCCAGATGAACAAGCACAGAGCATATTCTGTACTTTTGCTTCAAGATATGTGCGTGAACCAATTCCCAGGTATATCTTCCTTCCTTTTTCTTAGAACTTCACACTTAGTTTTGTTGGAAGAAAGCATAGAGAACAAGAAAATAGGAAGGTTTGGTTTGGTTTCTATTGAATTAAGGTTCCTTGTTGTGATGGGGTTGGGGTGGAAATTTTGAATTCAACAGGTTCAAGATACCAGAGAAATCAATACCAAAGGATGCTGCTTATCAGATAATAAACGATGAGTTGATGCTGGATGGCACACCAAGGCTCAACTTGGCCTCATTTGTGACCACTTGGATGGAGCCTGAGTGTGACAAGCTCATAATGACTTCACTTAACAAGAACTATGTCGACATGGATGAGTACCCTGTCACCACTGAGCTCCAGGTTTGTGTGCCTTCTCTGAATAGTTTGGCGCCTTTATTATATGATCATAAAATTTAAGTCCATGTTGTAGCTCAGTCCTTTAAAATCAAGGTTTTAATTAAGTTTGTGACCGGGATTTCAGTCGCAACATTGAGGTTTTTGGGATCTTCACGACCATTTTCTGCTCAAAGTACCTTTTGGATGAAAGTGGATCTTTCAAAGAAAGTAGTACCCCAAAGAAGATAGTACTGATTTTTATGACACTTTCTTTTGAAAAGTTTGTGCATCTAATGGTAACTTAATGGATCTTATGAGCTTCGTGGTCAGATGAAGATTCGGAGTAAATTACTTTAGAAATGAAAGAAAACCTTGCAGATCTATGTTCTTTATCTGATATTCATTAGTAAATTTGAGTACTGATATTGTATATGTATCATTTTATGATTGTTTTCATATGAAGTTTGAGAGTTATAAAGACTGATTGGTTTCATTTTGTTAAACTCTGCAGAATCGGTGCGTTAATATAATAGCAAATCTATTCCACGCTCCTCTAAATGAAGATGAGACTGCAGTAGGTGTGGGAACTGTGGGGTCATCAGAGGCAATAATGTTAGCAGGTCTGGCTTTTAAAAGGAAATGGCAGACAAAGAGAAAAGCGGAAGGAAAACCCTATGATAAACCCAACATTGTTACTGGTGCTAATGTGCAGGTAGGTCTCAAATTGTGCTTGATGCTATTAAATTTCAAACAACTTTTAAGTTGTGTTAGCCGCATGATCATATAATGAGAAATAGGTACATGTAAAAACGTAATACTGTATGCTATTTTGAAATAGTAGAATCATCCAAGGGATTTCCTCTTCAATGTTTGATGTTCTTTAAATCTTCCTTCACAGGTTTGTTGGGAAAAATTTGCAAGGTACTTTGAAGTAGAGCTCAAGGAAGTGAAACTCACTGAGGGATACTATGTGATGGACCCTGTGAAAGCAGTTGAAATGGTGGATGAGAACACCATCTGTGTTGCAGCCATTTTGGGTTCAACTATGACTGGAGAGTTTGAGGATGTGAAGCTTCTCAATGAACTTCTCACTGAAAAGAACAAGGAGACAGGTTGGGATACCCCAATTCATGTAGATGCTGCCAGTGGAGGGTTTATTGCCCCATTTCTCTATCCTGATCTAGAGTGGGATTTTCGTTTGCCATTGGTGAAAAGCATCAATGTTAGTGGTCACAAGTATGGTCTTGTCTACCCTGGTGTTGGTTGGGTTGTCTGGAGGAGTAAAGAGGACTTGCCAGATGAACTTGTTTTTCACATAAATTATCTTGGATCTGATCAGCCCACTTTCACATTGAATTTCTCTAAAGGTAAATAATATTATGGGAGTTGATACATGTATTTGATTTTTTCTTGCATTAGTATCTCTGTATCTATATGCTGTTTAGGCATTGCTCATATATGATGTTTCACTGCTGGACTATTGAGCTCAAATGCAATTAAAAGTTATTTTCAAGAATCTTTTTCTCTCTGATGACTGTGTTTACAACAATCCATCAGAACCCTTTTGAAGTAAGCAGCAAATATCTTATTTCTGCTTAGTGTTATGTTATGCCTGTTTCAATAATACTGCCTTGTTGTCTGAAAAAAACATATGTTCTATTGATAACTGTTGATGAAGTTGCATGTGATATTTTTGAATTTGCTAAAGTGCTAATGTAGATTTATGAGAACTCTGCATGTATTCAACCCCATTTGTCTGGATCAAACATTTGATAAAGGATTGTTATGTGCATTGATCTTATTCTTAAATCTTTTGATTAGATGCTTGTAATAATAAGCATTGGGAACCCAATTAATGTTATTTAGTTTTTATTCCAATCATCTGAATGTTTCAGCATAATTTTCTTTTTCTTTTGTCCGTCTCATTTTTTTGTATTTCTTTTGACAGGATCCAGTCAAATTATTGCACAATATTACCAGCTTATTCGGCTTGGCTTCGAGGTAAACATGTTATCATCTTGGTCCAGAATCTTCATTTTTAGGTATGATAAGTATGTTCAAGATAGAAAAACTAAATTTCCCATAAAAAACAGATTATATGTATCCCTTTTCCATTTACTTTTTTTCTCATACGGAATTCACTTGATAATGGAGTTAAATCTTGATGTTATGGCTGTATGACATATGGGATTTGGCTCTCTCTTTCTGATTGGAGTCTTCCCATTCATTTCCTGGTCAATTAGTTTGGAGAGTAACTCAATTAACTTGTTTACAAATCAATAACATAAACTTCATGACAGGAGCATAGAGTTACAGCCATCAAAATCCATGTTTTTGTATCAATGATTTTCTTGGTTGTTTTAATTTTTTCATATCCTAATGAAGGTATCCTACAAGAGGGTACTTGATTAGTTTCAAAATCATGAAGCGGTTTCCACAATTTTACTGCAAAACCAAATTTTAAAATTAACAACTGCATGATACATCATGATATTAACAATGTCCTATAGGCATAATTGCACACATATTCTCTTCATTATGTGAATAGTACAAATGATGATCTACACATCATGCTAAATTGGTAACTTCTTGCATTATCTGTTTTCTCTCAATACATTTGGTTATTCTTGTGAACATAAGGGTTATAAAAACATCATGGAAACTTGCTTGGAGAATGCAAGAGTTCTGAAGGAGGGACTTGAAAGAACAGGACGGTTTAACATCATCTCCAAGGATATAGGGGTGCCACTTTTGGCCTTCTCTTTGAAAGACAGCAGCCAACACACAGTGTTTGAGATATCAGACCAGCTGAGAAAATTTGGTTGGATAGTTCCGGCCTATACAATGCCGCCAGATGCACAACACATTGCGGTCCTCCGGGTGGTGGTGAGGGAGGATTTCAGCTGTGGCTTGGCCCAGAGGCTTGTTTCTGACATACAGAAAGTTATGAAGCTCTTGGACTCACTCCCAAGCACCATCTCAACCAAAACTGCTCATGTCACAGCCATCACTAGTGAGACTAGTGAGAAGGTTGAGAAGAGTGCAATAGAGACTCAAAGAGAGATTGTTTTGTACTGGAAGCGACTTGTGGATGGCAAGAAAGTTGGAGCATGCTAGGCTTACCAAATCTTGGCCTTTTGGCAACCTTGTTGAGAGTTATGGTGGTGGCTTCATATCTATGTGCATATGTGTGTTTGTGAATTGTGATGGCTATGCAGCAATAAGAAATGGCAATGCATGATGGATTCTTATAGTCATTGATGTTCTTGCCTAAGAAAATTTTCTCAATCAGGTTTGAGGTTTGAGTTGGTAATTTTCTGTGTTCATACCAAAACTTATATACACTTTTTATGAATGGTATTTGTATCCAATTAAAACTCTACCAAGAAAAAATTTGCATTGAATTTTAACTGAAGATAAACACTAACGGTATCTCTAAGATTTTGATCAGCTGTAATCCTTAAGGGGTATAATATATTAAAGTAATTGCATGATTAATCTTTTTATATTATTATATTTAATCATCTTTAAATATAAAATTAGTGATTGAGATCAATTTAGAAAGACAGCTACAAAATATTTAGATCCAAAATAATATGAATTATGTAGAAAGCTAAATAAAATTATTATATGGTAAATATTTTTATTTTTAATTTAATTGTATTATAATATTAATAAATAATATTATTTTAAAATGTATATATTACTGTTTTCGAGTAGAATAATAAGTTACAACGGAAGGACAATATTACCCTTGCACCGACACTCACCCTGTGACTGTTCATTTACCTACAATTTAATATAAAAAATATTGAGATGATATAAATATAGTTTTTGTTGAATTTATTAAACTGCCATATAAAAATTCATCAAGCAAATAATTTTTAGATAATTAAAACATTTATCATTAAAAAATGTAATATAAAAATATTAAAGAAATAATTTTACGATTATTTTTTCTCATTTTTGTCTTCTCTCTTCTTTTTATCCCTAATTTCTTCTCTCGATGCCTGTCACAGGGTTATTTGGTAAAAAAAAAAAGAATGAAAACAGAAAAATTGAATTAAAAAAAATAGAAATAATTAAATATATTTTAGTTAAAAAAATAAAATAAATCTATTTAGGATAAATTAAACAATCAATATTTTTTGTTATTCTCAAATTTTTCTTGTAATAATATTCTACATGTGTCAATAAAATCTAATGAATTGATATAATAGTTAAACATTCAGCATTAATTCATATTCAATATTCTTATTCTGTGTGTATGATTTTTTTTTCCCTTTTTTGATTGCGAATGTAATTATTCTCTACCACAGACTGAAAAGTATCTGTGACTGAAACAAAAAAACACACATCAATAAGCACATGTGAATAGTAGCGTTAGTGTTATCATAACAATGATGCACTATGACTCACACTTGAACAAGGACCAGGGCCAGAATCATGGTCGAGATTATGAATAAGACTTCACTTTCTATGTACATTTCTGAACCCGAAATATCTCATGCATTATGTCTGATATTTTGAAGATGAAATATTGCAAATAATATTATTAAATTTTGTTAATAAATTCAAAATATTCTACTTGGACTGACTTTTTACTATGATAGAATTATCTATTTGGATCAGCTTTGAAAACTGAAATAATATTCGAGAAGTCGCATATTCTAATATCACTGTGACCATTGAGGAAACAAATTATGTTAAAGTAATACTTGAATGGTGATGGATCGTTCAATGCATGTTGGCTTTGGCTTTGTTATGACATTAAGAAAGGAAACATGGTTGGAATGATAGTTTGTGATTGTAAAAGGGAAACAAAAGACAAAAAAGGTAGAAAATGTAATAAATGAGGTAACGTAATGAGAAAGGCAGAAAAAAAGGTGAAGTTAAAGCTAGATGAAAATCAATGGCAGCAATAACATCAGTACTATAACAAAATGGCAAGCATTGTGGATGTGTATGGACCACACAAAGTTGAACAGGTACACTTAAAGCAAGAAAAATCTCTTATCATGGTGATAGTGCAGGAAATTTATCCTTGTGGAAATAACAGTAAATGTTGGTAACTAAAAAAGAAGAGAAAATTCCAATCTCCCTATATAAGTGGAGGTTCTATCTCTGCAGAGTTCAGTGTGTATAACGCTTTTGGTTCATTGGCTGAGAAGAAAGCATATTCAATGGTTATCACATCCACTGCCACACACCCAGATGCTCATGATGAGTGTATTTCCTCTACTTTTGCTTCCAGATATGTGCGACAATCTATTCCCAAGTATGTCTCTTTTTCTTAGAACTTCACATTTAGTTGTTGTTGGTTCACTTTTTGGAAGAAAGAGCATATAGAGCAGAAAAAAAGAGAGAGGAAGTTTGGTTTCTCTTGAAATGAGGTTTCTTTGTTGTGATGGGGTTGGGGTGGAAATGTTGACTGCAGGTTCAAGATGCCAGAGAATTCCATACCAAAGGATGCTGCTTATCAGTTAATAAACGACGAGTTGATGTTGGATGGCGCACCAAGGCTCAATTTGGCCTCATTTGTGACCACTTGGATGGAGCCTGAGTGTGACAAGCTCATAATGGCCTCACTCAACAAGAACTATGTTGACATGGATGAGTACCCTGTCACCACTGAGCTTCAGGTCTTTATATGGTCTTAAGACATTGCTCTTCATTTTCTTTTAATTTAATGAATTTACAATCAACTTATCTTTAACATTTAAATTAAGAGAATTAGAGGGTAAGATAAGGTGTAACTCTCTTTTGGAGTAAAATGCTTCCTCTTTAAAGTATGTTCTGCTACCACAATCTACTCAACTCGACTGCAACATCAATGTTTTTGGAGTCCATGCAACCACAATTGTGTGGACACATTCATATGCAATTTTCCACAATATCAAGAATCCTGACAAGACCATGACTGCAATTTAAATCCTTGGTTAAAATAAATAAAAAAATAAAATAGAATTGTTTGAAGGGCTTTTGAAAGCTTCTTTACCAGAAATAAAGAACCTTTTTAAGAGAAGCTCTCAAAATCTCATTTAGATTTGTATCAAGATAGACTCTTAAGTTTCCTTTTGAATTAAAGGGAATTTTTCAATGAAAGGGTTGGGGTATTAAGAAAAAAAAAATGAAAAAAGCACTCAACATAAGATGCAGCTGAATTTTATGACACTTTACTGTGATGGTAACTTCGTAGATCTTATGTGTTTCGTAGACAGAAGAAGATTCGAAGTCAGCTTCATTATTTAAAAGAAAGTATTCCAAGCCTATGTTCTGTTTCCAAAGTTCAATTGTAAATTTGAAGATACTAATATCATATACGGATCATTTTGTGGTAATTTTCAGACGAAGTTTGAAACTAAAAGATTTATTAGTTTCACTTTATTGACTTATGCAGAATCGGTGTGTCAATATAATAGCAAATCTATTCAATGCTCCTCTAAGTGAAGAAGAGACTGCAGTAGGTGTGGGAACTGTGGGATCATCAGAGGCAATAATGTTAGCAGGTCTGGCTTTTAAAAGGAAATGGCAGACAAAGAGAAAAGCAGAAGGAAAACCATATGATAAGCCCAACATTGTTACTGGGGCCAATGTGCAGGTGGGTCTCAACTTGTGTTTGATGCAATGAAGTTCTAAACAACTTTTAATTTGTATTAGCTGTAAGACCATATCTTGGAGTTCACCTTATCCTGAACTGCATACCGGGTTCTCTTTAAAGGAAGTTGTATAACAATAATAATGTAAAAAGCGACTAATTGTGTTTACAAGTATCCATACACGTACCTGACTGAGTGCCAGATTTTGGGGCCTCTAGACCTCAATGTTTGATGTTCTTCGAAATTTTCTTCACAGGTTTGTTGGGAAAAATTTGCAAGGTACTTTGAGGTAGAGCTCAAGGAAGTGAAACTCACCGAGGGATACTATGTGATGGACCCTGTGAAAGCAGTTGAAATGGTGGATGAGAACACCATTTGTGTTGCAGCCATTTTGGGTTCAACTATGACCGGAGAGTTTGAGGATGTGAAGCTTCTCAATGAACTTCTCACTGAAAAGAACAAGAAGACAGGTTGGGATACCCCAATTCATGTAGATGGTGCCAGTGGGGGATTTATTGCCCCATTTCTCTATCCTGATCTTGAATGGGATTTTCGTCTGCCATTGGTGAAAAGCATCAATGTTAGTGGTCACAAGTATGGTCTTGTCTACCCCGGTGTTGGTTGGGTTGTCTGGAGGAGTAAGGATGACTTGCCAGATGAACTTGTTTTTCACATAAATTATCTTGGATCTGATCAGCCAACTTTCACATTGAATTTCTCCAAAGGTAGCAGGAGTTGGTTGATACATGTATTTGATTTCTTTTATGCCATTAGTGTCTGTTTAGGCGTTGTTGGTATATTTCTCACTGCCATATTATTCAGTTCTAAAATTAGAAGTTATTTTGAAGAATCTATTTCTCTCTGCCTTTCTCTACACAGAATCCATCACAATCCATTTTTTAAATGGGCAGCAACTCTCTTATTTCATCTTGGAGTGTTTCATATGTATGATTCAAAATAGTGCCCTCTTGTGGGAAAAAGAAAAAGGTGCTACTATGAAAATAGATTTGAGACATCTTCATGTTATTGATAATAGATTTGTTTGGGTGCAGTTCTTGCAAGGTATCTTTTAAAGTCTTGGGTAATCCAAGTGTGAGTCCATGTCTTGCATTGAGTAACAATGAGAAAGTTGAATAACATATAAGGAAGTAAGACCCATAACCCAATACTTTAAGTTTTGGGTTAAGAGTGGTTTCAATTAAGGTTTTGGGTTGAGAGTGGTGTCAATTAAGGTTTTGGGTTCAGAGTAGTGTCAATCCTTAATGTTGATTGGACTCATGTCTCATTGGTGTTGTCTCTCTCAGGTGAATTTTCCCCTCGAAAGACCAATAGTGGTATCATGCTTTCTTTTTTTATATGTTGTTCAACTTTCTCATATTTGGATTTTTGTATTCTATAGACCTATCCACCCATGGGAATGTGTAATTTTATGAGATAGCCTACTAGTTATTGCTAGATTTCCTACATATTCATTTCGGTGTAGTTTGGTTGCTAACTGTTTTTTGTGGAGAAAACTCTTTTCTAGAACTTTTATTCTTGCAAACAAAATTGTGCTTGACCCCATTGAGTTTGTGTGGATAAAGGCTGTGTGTTGTTGGAAGTCCCACATCGTTTGTCTCATGTCATTTGGTATATTTTAAATACATGTTAGGCTACTCCACATATTGCCAATTGGTTTTATGTTGAAACCTTAACATGGTATCAGAGTCAAAGCCTAACATCTTTTCGATTATTATCTATCTTGGGTCAAGAGTTGTCCTTTCATTGTGGGTCAAAAGTACCTTTTGTCTGGTCCCGGCAGGCTTGTTAGTTTTATGTTGGAACCTTAACATGGTATCAAAGCCAAAGTCTAACATCTTTTCGATTATTAACTATTTTGGGTCAAGAGTTGCCCTTTCGTTATGGGTCAAAAGTACTCTTTGTCTGGTCCGGCAGGCTTTGTTGGAGGGGGCGTGTTGGAAGTCTCACATCGTCTGTCTCATGTCATTTGGTATAGTTTAAATACATATTAAACTACTCCACATATTGACAATTGGTTTTATTATGGAATCTTAACATGTGTATTCATCTAATTCCTAAAAATGTTGATTAGATAATTGTAATAAGCACAGGAAATCAATTATCGTTATAAGATTTCTATTGCAATCATCTGAATGTTTTAGCAGAATATTATTTTTGTTTGTCCTTCTTCTCATCCCTCTGTTTCATTTAACAGGATCCAGTCAAATTATTGCTCAATATTACCAATTTATTCGGCTTGGCTTTGAGGTAATCTTGTTATCATCTAGCTGCTGAATCTTATTATTATAAATATTTTTGGTTCATTTGAGGTTACTAAAGATAGAAAACATGAATTCCCCGTGAAAAAATAGAGATTATTCATACATATTTCCTTTTTCCATTTCACATTTTTTGTAATATAGAATTCACTTAATAATAGAGGTAAGTCTTTCAATTCTGGTAACTTGTTTACAAATCAATAACATGAACTTCATCACAAAAATAACTTTCACCAAAGTAACAGCTACTAACATGAATGGAAGCATTAGTTTAGATGGGCAGAATTTGGGATACACAAGCATCAATGTTATTATACTGATGCTATGTTAATAGTACTCTTGTTAATACACTCTCTGAATGCTCCTAGCATTCCTCTGTATTAATATATACAGATATATCAATATTCATGGTTGTTTCTCCATTTTCTCATGCCCTAATGAAGATATCCGAGAAGAGAGTACTTGATGAATTTCAAATTTCATCAAGCAATTTCCACAATTTAACTGCTATGCTAAACCATAATTCAGAAATAACAACTGCTTGATGCATGATATTAGCAATGTCCTAGGAAAAATTGCACACATATATTGCTTCATTATTTAAATAGTACAAATGATGATCATTATGTAATTCTATAGTACTATCTTGTGCAAAAACTATTTTCTCTTCTACTTTTGTTACTCTTCTTGCTATTGTGCACAATAGGGTTACAAAAATATCATGGAAAATTGCTGGGACAATGCAAGAACACTGAGGAAAGGAATTGAGAAAATAGGAAGGTTTAACATCATCTCTAAGGACATAGGGGTGCCACTTGTGACCTTCTCCTTGAAAGACAGTAGCCAACACACAGTGTTTGAGATAGCAGATCAGCTGAGAAAATTTGGCTGGATTGTTCCTGCCTACACAATGCCACCAGATGCACAGCACATCGCGGTCCTCAGGGTAGTGGTCAGGGAGGATTTCAACCATGGCTTGGCTGAGAGACTTGCTGCAGACATAGACAAGGTTGTGAAGCTCTTAGACACACTCCCTAGCCTCACAACCAAAGCCACTCATGTCACACCCATCACCAGTGAGACTGATGAGAAGATCAAGAAGAGTGCAGTAGAGACTGAAAGAGACATTGCTGTGTACTGGAAGCGACTTGTGGAGGGGAAGAGACATGGAGCATGCTAGCCTTTTGGCAAACTTGATGTGGTGTGAGTTGAGGTGGTGGTTTCTTATTTATGTAATTGATATGTGTGATTTTGTTATGGCTATGCAGAAATAAGCAATGACAATGCATGACATATTGTAATAGTAATTGCTGTTCTTAGACTAAGAAAACTTTCTGTTTTCTGCTCATGAAAAGGCACTATTATCTACAATGCATGAGTTACTTTCAAAGCTTAGTATATGAATATCCAATAAAGGTTTTATAATTCTGTTTTTATTCGTTAATAAATAATATTTAATTATTGAATCAATCCACAAGAAAAGCTAATAAAATCATTTTGATAGCAAATGCAATTACCATAATAAGTCAATATATTGGTGCTCCTACCCGAGTAGAATTGAGTTTAAATATTTAAAATAAAATTCTGGATTTAAATCTATGATAAAGAAATTGTTATTGAGACGGATGCATGTTGGATGTGTTATAAACACATTAATTCTATGATAAAATTACAATATTATTGTTAAATCAAAGGAGATAATCAAATACAGAGATAACAAAAACTAATTAAACTAGCCTAAATTAATAAATTATATAACTTGAGTTTTAATTTTAAGTATGAATTAGATGTGAGTCTTTTTAATTATAATTCAATATAACTTTAATATGTAAAAAATAAAAAAAAAATCCAATTTTTATAGGACTTTAATTCAAATTCCTTTGGTTGAACTGTAATTCACACCATGAATTGAGTTGATCCGGATTGAGTAATTCGTTATTCCACTGTACACAATACGTACAATTCAAGAAAGATTAACTTCACAATGAATTATAGCTAAGGCTTAAATTTATTTTAGATTTTCATAGTTTTACAAAAATAGAGTTTTAATTCCTATAAAAAATTAATTGCATAACTAGTCCCAAATTCTTAAAAAATAAGTAGTTTTAGTATATTGTGATGCAATTACGAATAAAAAATGTTTAAAGTAAGTGCATCCTCCGCACTAAGGTCGTCTCTCTTTCCCTCTGTTCCCAATCACTTCACAGAAATTCCACACATACCCAGATATCAAAACTTTATCTTTTTTTCATCTACTCCTTGTTTCTGAACCCCTTCTCTCTCTCCTCTCATTGCCTTCAACTCCCACACCAAAATAACAATGATGGGTATGTTTCATAGGTACATAAATTCTCAAATAAAAATGATGGGTATGTCTCATAAGTACATAAATTCTCTGAAAAACCCTTCATTTTCACTGTGCGCCTACCATTATCGTCGCATCTTCAGAAACAAAGTTCTCGCACAAGTTGAAACCACACTTCAGGCAACAAGGTTTTCACCCTCTCATTACTCTGCTCATTGCAAAAGGCCATCATTATCTGTTAATAATACTTCTATTCTGCACTTCATTCAATATTCCTCGTTCTTGAACTATTATATTGCTTGTTATATCCCTAATCGTTATTATTGTTCAGAAACTGTTTCCATGAATCAAGATTATAGTTGTTGTGAGAGTGATGTTGATAAGATGTATAGCTCAATGATGGAGGGTAATGGGTTAGAAAGTGATGTTGATAAGATGTATAGCACTATAATGGATAATTTAATTGGATTTAACAATTTGGAGGAGGCTCTTGGCCAATTAGGGATCCCATTGTCCACCCCTTTGTTTACTGGGGTACTGCATAGGCTTAGATATGATGAAAAAATTGCATTTAGGTTCTTCACTTGGGCCGGTTATCAAGAGAATTATTCACATGAGCCTTGTGCTTATAATGATATGATGGACATCCTATCTAGTACTAAGTACAAGGTGAAACAGTTTCGGATAGTTTGCGATATGTTGGAATATATGAAGAGGAATAACAAGATTACGGTTCCGGTTGAAGTTCTGATGATGATTTTGAGAAATTACACTGAGAAGTATCTTACTCATGTGCAGAAGTTTGCAAAGAAGAGGAGGATAAGGGTGAAGACACAACCAGAAATAAATGCATTTAACTTGCTATTGGATGCTCTGTGCAAGTGTTGTTTGGTTGGGGATGCTGAAACTCTATATAAGAAAATGAGGAAAACGGTCAAGCCTAATGCAGAAACGTATAATATATTGATTTTTGGGTGGTGTAGGGTTAGAAACCCAACTAGAGGGATGGAACTATTGGAGGAAATGATTCAACTTGGTCATAGGCCTGACAATTTCACATACAACACTGCCATTGATACATATTGCAAAGCAGGTATGATAACAGAGGCTGTGGATCTTTTTGAGTTCATGAGAACAAAAGGTTCAACTATATCTTCTCCCACTGCAAAGACTTATGCAATTATAATTGTGGCTCTTGCCCAAAATGATAGAATGGAGGAGTGTTTTAAACTTATTGGGCATATGATTTGCAGTGGTTGTCTTCCCGATGTTACAACATATAAGGAAATAATTGAGGGAATGTGTGTGTGTGGAAAGATAGATGAAGCTTACAAGTTCTTGGAAGAGATGGGAAACAAGGGTTACCGACCAGATATTGTTACTTATAATTGTTTTCTCAAGGTCCTTTGTGACAATAAGAAGTCTGAGGAAGCCCTTAAACTATATAAAAGAATGATTGAATTGAGTTGCATTCCTAGTGTTCAGACTTACAACATGCTGATTTCGATGTTTTTTAAGATGGATGATCCTGATGGGGCATTTGAGACATGGCAGGAAATGGACAACAGGGGTTGCAGACCAGACAATGACACATACTGTGTGATGATCGAGGGGCTATTTAACTGCAATAAAATGGAAGATGCTTGTTTTCTTTTGGAAGAAGTGATAAACAAAGGAATAAAGTTGCCATATAAAAAGTTTGACTCCTTTTTGATGCAACTGTCAGTGATTGGCGATCTCCAGACAATTCATAGGCTCTCAGAACATATGAGGAAATTCTACAATCATGGCATGGCTAGACGTCATGCACTAAGCCAGAAGCGTAAGAGCATGAGTTTAAGAGGGAGATAATAGTTCGAAATTTCTTTGTTGAGTTTTTGCCACCGGTCAGGAAAACTTGAAGGGGCAAAATTAGGAGAGTTCTTCCCATGACAAAAATTTTCTGGAAGCATGGCAAGTTATATAGTATTTTCTGGAATTTCTTTGTTAGGAGAGTTCGAAATTTCTTTGTTGAGTTTTTGCCACCGGTCAGACAAATATTTTCTAGAAGCATGGCAAGTTATAATAGTATTCACCATTTTAGATACCACCTTCAAGCTTGCCTTGCATTACATATTGGACTACTTCATGATGATAACTAGTTGCATCTTTGAACATGTTCTATTGGTCATGGTATTTGCTACTAATAACTTTTGCACGAAAAACTGTAAGTCTCTAGAATTTTTCTACTCATTTTTAATTCATCTAAAGAAACAATGGAAGCTGTCATGACATATTTGGATGAACACCGTTGGTTAGTTGATGCTGCCTAAAGGTGGGAAGATCTATGTATGTATTTTGTTTTATGGTAACATGTGAGGACAAATATTGCACTTCTGCTCGATGGTAAACATTGTTTTCTGTTCTAGAATCTGTTAATTACTTGAGCATAAAAGCTATACCATATATGAGATTTTTTATTGCATTTTTAAAGTACAATTGTAAGGAATGTATATTCACTTCAATAATGATACCATGTACATATTTTCTTCCAAATTATATGTAACATTCTATTTTCTGTTTAATGTTTGTCCCCTTTTATTTTGATGTTTCTATCAGTTAGGAGGCTTGTTTGTTTTGTTGAAGATCCAGTGGTGGTAAAGGGTAGAGTTTCTTAAAAACATGTTAGGTCATTGCTTTGTATTATGTGGATATGTGATATGAATCTCAATTGCCTAATGGGTGATTTAGAATATTTAGGGTTAGAACCTTTAAGAAATTAAAGAATTTAATGATAAGGTGGAAAGAAATAATCACTCTTTCCAAATGAGACAACTAACAAAGGATGTGAAAGTTCTTTGATACAACTAAGGATTCTTGGATCATTCAAAAATTTAGGATAAAAAAGTTAAACTCTAATATTTTTAAATAAAATTCAACTTGTTATATTTAATAAAAATATGGTTCAACCTATATAAAAGTTTTGTCATCATAATTACAGAGATTCAATAAAAGAAAATAAATATTAATAATGATTCATTAACCTAGGAATTAAAAATTACTTAATAACTGATTCTAACTGAAATTGTGGCGACCAAAAGTCAATTAGTTATGCACATTCTTGGTTTTTCAAAAATTGATACCTAAATTTTCAATTGGACCCTTATTAGAATTTTAAAACAAAATCAAATTAAAGTCTATTAATTGATTAATCTAAAACACAATTTGACCAACCAATAATACTTGTTTGAAAAGTTTCATTTGTTTTTCTTGTTCTAGTCCTTATCATGTTCACATCAATATGTGTCATGGATTGTCTAAGTAGAATAACTCGTTAAAAATATGTATTATATAACAAGTATAATTATGTTTTAACCTTCTTATTTTAATGTTAACAATGATATGATCTTTCTATTTAATAATAATTTTTTTAAAAATTCTTAAAAAAAGTTCAGACCAACATATCATAATTTTTTTTTACTAATTTTAAGATGGGATTTTAATCATCCCACTTATTCCATGAACAACCTACTCCTTTCATAATTTTTTTTTTAAAGTGTTTTATTTTAATACAGTCTGTTTTAACAAATTTCTATATAAGAAATTGTAGCAGTTATAAGATAAAATTAATTTATGTACAAATTAAAGATTTTTTAAAAATTATACGAAAATGGTTTACAAATGAAATTATACGTAAATTGATTTTAATTTATGAAGATCTTTTTTTTCTTTTAAAAAATTTATTTCCGTGCATATTTGTAATATTAGTAAACAAATTTGTGTAGCAGCTCTTACCTTTTAAAAATAAAAATATTGTAAATTTAATTTAATTTTTACACAATTTTGAGCGTTTGAACTGCACTATTTTTTTATTATATTTTGAATAAACACACTTTGTATAAGTAAAATTTTTCATAAATTAGTAGCTCGATTAAATCATAAATGTAAAATAATTATAATTTTATAAACAAATTATTCATGAAATCTAGAAGTGCGGAGTTATTGTGAAACCATTTACATTCTTTTGGTGGTGTTGGAAAATTAGGGATTTATAAAATATTGATTAAAAAGATAAAAAAAATATTAGGTAAAGAAGGAACCCACTTTTTTTATATTACATTTTATTGTTTTAAAAATAAAAATAATCAATAATTAAAAGTAATCTTGCATAATAAATTATTTATTGTAAACCAAAATTTACTTTTATATGTTAAAAATTGCATTTATTAATAAATGTTAAATATGTTATATGTTTGAAAACATTAAGTATGATTATTTTAGGGTAAATAAACAATTTAATTTTTAAATGTACGATGCATGATCAATTTAATCTTTTAAATAACGAAAAAATGATTTATTATCATAGAAAAATATTATAATTGACCTTATTAATATGTATGAAATTATTTTGTCATTAGAATGTAATTTGAGATTAATTTTTCACTGAGGCTGTAATATTTAGGGATTAATTTGTATTTTTAATATTTCAATATTAAATCACATTTTTTCTTTCAAAGATTAAATTAACTATTACAAATTTAAGGATCAATTACCCATTGTTTTATTTAAAAAAGTTATAAATAACCTGTATATGCAAATGAATTACGTGAAAATTCAACATTACTTGTAAACCTAGAATTAAAAAGAAAACATTCTTTTTAATTAAAAAAATAAACAGTTTTCTCCCACTTTCGACATATTTTGTTACGTTAATTGAAATGGGCTCGTGGGGACTGGAAACAGAGAACACGTGGTCTTAAATGGGCTGTGTGAGTATTCGTTTCTTCCATTTTCCCGCCCTTTCTTCTACACCAGGATTTTCCAGCGCCAAACCTAACCCTCTTCTGTTCAACACACCGATTCTAGAGAGAGAAAGAGTGTGTTCGAGAGAAATGAATGCTTCAATGAGGAAAAAGGTTCAAAGGAAGTGTAAGATAAGAGGCTACAACCTCAAAGTGGATGCTCTCGACGAGATCCTCTCCTTCGCCGCTCGCTTCGAAGGCGACGAAGACGAAGCCGTCGATCTCCTCCTCGACGAGCTCGAAAAATCTTGTAATCTCTCTTTTTGTAACTTATTTCTTCAATTATGATTCGATTTCTGAAACCCTGAGCAAATTGCAGTGAAATCCACAATAATTGACAAGGAGACGGTGCACCGCGTGGTGAGCCTGCTGCTGGAAGCTGAGGCGGCCGTGGAGGATAGCTCCGACCCCGGCGCTGGCACCTCTTCCGCCATTCGCGTTGTCGATGCGTTCCTCGTCCCGAAATATAAATACGACACTATCAGAAAACAGTTCTACGAGTAAGGATTTTAGTTTCTAGTTTTTTCTTGTTTGATTTGCCCTTTGAAATTGAAGATTGGCGGGAAGTTCCTCTAACGTGAAGTTTGTTTAATTTTAAAATGGACGTGCGGTTTTGGTAGAACCGACGTAGAACTATATGTGTTATTTAGAGATAGAGGAGTAAGTGAATAAGAATGTTGAACAATTTTATTGGAATCTGAAAAGTATAAGGGAAAATCACAGCAAAAGAACTATTGAAAATTTGTCTATGTTCATATATATATATATATATATATATATATATATATATATATATATATATATATATTAAATTTTACATTGTGATTGAGTTCGAGCTTTAGTGGTTGTTGTTAGTTTTATTGAACTCTTATTTGGTAAAAGAGAGACTTCGTGAACACATCTGCATCCTAATGCGGTTGATTTTATATTTTAGATGATCAACTCCAGTTAAGCAATTTATAAGAATATTTGTGTTGGTTTTTGTCTTGCACTTGGACTTGATTTGGCCCTGCTGCTGTGTTTCATGATTTTTTGCAGGCATACAGGCACGTTATCTATTCACGGAGAAGCATCAGCAAAAGCAGCTTTGTACAGGGATAGGTTTCTGTTATTGTCCCAGAGGCTCTCTCGTGACCAGCATTTTTCTAAACCTGCTTTTGAATCTGAATTTTCTCATTTCGGAAGTTGTGAGGTACTGTAGATGATTCAATTGGCTATGAACTTTAATCAATTAGTTTGTCAGATGTTATCCGTGGTTAAGAATTGTGCGTTCATATGCTTACATTCAAATTTTCTTTTTGAGGAGAATTAACATATGATTTTCTGTTATGCTGCTTCAGATATCTCCTATTCAATCTCTAGTTGGGCAAACAGGTAGAAGATGGGTGATGGGCGTAATATCTCAGCTGGAAGATGGTCATTACTATTTGGAAGACCTTACAGCTGCAGTTAAAATTAACTTGTCCAATGCAATATCCTTTAGTGTTTGACAATAATTTCTTGTTTATTTATTTAAGAGATCATAATTTCATTAAATGTTTTAAACTTTGAGAGATGCTTAAATACAAGTAATTGAAGGACTTTGATCCAAATGCTTAAAATATATGTATCCTATTTTCATAATTTTCTTGCTGATTTTGTATGCTATAACTCATAACAATTCAAATTTTTTAAAAGCTTCAATGTTTAATCATCTGTTTCTTTGACTAGCAATACAAGATAACTACAGGACTCTTTTCAGAGAACACTATAGTTGTGGTCGAAGGGGAGATGCACGTGGAGGGTATTTTTCAGGTTCTTGCTAGCATGCCTTTCTTAACATCTGCTTCATATGATCTTTATTTTGTAAAACAAATATATCAATTATTTGTGAGATGAGAAAGCAATGATTTATAACTGTTGTTTAGAGAATTTAAACTGTTCATATTTAGGAAAACAAAATTTCACATATAAATATTTGGTAAACATCAAAGAGAAAAAGTTTATAGTTTTGTACTCGAAGGATGCTTATTGCTAAGGATTTTATAATTTTAACTTCCGTTGTTGAATGCTTTTTTGCATTCCTAAACCGATGTACACAGGCTTAGAAAATTGTTGCCTATTTGACTTGAATCTTGATAAAATTTTCTTAAATTCTTGGGCTGTTTGAGTTTATATAATGACAGCAACTTAGACCCATTTGTCCTAAATTCTGATATTTCTGCTCTGATGTCTGCATAATTAGTGCATCCTGTTTCTGCAGGTTTTAACATGTGGATTTCCTCCACTGGAGGATAGAGATAAGTCACTGAAAGTACTTGCAGGGCATGACTTTTTTGGTGGTGGTACTTTTACCAAAGAGGAAACTGTATCCTTATGATACCCTTGTATTCAGTTGAACAAGTTCATTACTATTACGATGTCTGAAGTTTTTATGTTATCATACTCGGATGAAATGCATCTTTCCTATACCTTTTTAGATTAGAATGGAAGAGATGGAGAAAAGAGCTGTAAATGACATGTTTGTCATACTTGCTGATGTTTGGCTAGACAATGAAGAGGTAATTTGCAACGTGGATTTGTTTCTCTTCTTTTCTTCATTTCCTCTAGCACCTTGTTATTAACACGTAGCTTGATGTAATCTTCATGCTGTTTTTCGTAGAGAAGGCTTTGACAAAGCTGGAGACTGTTCTGGATGGTTTTGAGAGTGTGGAAGTGGTTCCTTCCTTATTTGTTTTCATGGGAAACTTCTGCTCTAGGCCATGTAACCTTTCATTTCATTCTTATTCGAGCCTCAGGTGAATTCCACTTACGATGTTTGTATTTCATTCATTAACAATGATAACTAAGAGTCTGGAATAAGGGTTTATAGCTAGGATTAGATCGCATTATTTGATTTGTCATGTGTCATTATAATTAGTAATTAGTTTTAATAGACAACATCGTTATTACTTAAAAAAAGATATTGTATTGTTATGTAAGGATATAAATAATTACAAAACTTAATATGCAGAATGCAGTTTGGTAAGCTGGGGGAAATGATTGCTGCCCATACTCGGCTGAAAGAGCTGAGTCAATTTCTGTTTATTCCAGGTCCTGATGATGCAGGTATTGACATTGTTGATAGTTATTACTCTAGCTCGCTATTTTCTTCATGTGTTATATACATTACTTTCCGCAATTTCTTCTAGGTCCTTCGACGGTTCTTCCTAGGTGCGCTTTACCAAAATATTTAACTGAAGAGCTCCAAAAGCACATACCAAATGCCATATTTTCAAGCAACCCTTGCAGGTTAACGTTACATTTATATGTTATTGCATGAGAAATCATTAATTGTGCATTTTGTGACTTGTAAATTCTTTGGAAGCTGATTGTTTTTACAACGTGTATCTGTTTGGCTACAGGGTAAAATTTTATACCCAAGAAATTGTATTTTTCCGCCAGGATATGCTGCATAGAATGCGTCGCTCATGTTTGATGTCTCCTTCTACAGAAGAGACTGATGATCATTTTCAACATGTAATTTGTCCCTCGGGTGTTTTCTAATTTATTTTTTAATTCTTTATTTTCTTGAATTTTTTTTAAGTACTAGTCTTCACAATCTTAAACTCAGCGGATTTTTGGTTTAAATTGCAGCTTGTTGCTACCATAACCCATCAAAGTCATCTCTGTCCACTCCCACTTACTGTTCAACCTATCATTTGGAATTATGACCATTCTCTCTATCTTTATCCAACTCCACACACGGTACTGCTCATATTTGAAATTTTTGTCGTGGCAAAGATATTTTAAATCGTTAGGAAATAAAAACGCTACTTTACAAACTGACTGCATATTCCAAATTAGGGTGTCGGAATTGCAGGGTGGCTGATTAAATTTGCATGCAATACATGAATGGCTGAATCTCTAAAACTCATATTTTGCATTTTTTTTCATCGTCATGGGGGATTTGGTAAAATACAGTGGGTAAATTCTGCATATCTCTGGATCTTTGGGTAACTACATTTTTTACTTTAGGGAATAGTATATTTGAACGGTTAAACTGTTTACGTTTTGAGAGAGGAAAACCAAGACCCCCGAAAACTGGAAGTATTAACAATTCCTTACATCTTCACTTTCTATTATACTTGGCATTTCCCATCTCGCATTTCAAGGCCTTGAAATAATTTGTTATAAACCACGCACGAAATGGTGGCTGTAATCTGACATTTACAAACGACTGATTTAATTATTATATTTTATGTCTCTATACCAGGAAATAATCTGATGATGATTATTTTTTGTGATATCTTGATGCAGATAGTCTTGGGTGACAGAAGTCAGCAAAAGGCATTCAAGTACACAGGAATCACCTGTTTTAATACTGGTTCCTTCTCAATTGACAGCACGTTTGTGGCATATCGTCCCTGCTCTCAGGAAGTAGAATTATCAGCCTTGTAGTAAACTTGGCATAAAACAGTGTTGGTCTCATCCTCTAATCATTAGCATCTCAGACGTACTGGCTGTGATATTCTTTCGTCAGATATACAACCATTAACAAAGCTGGAAATCTGGAATTGCTGCCTTTTCCTCTTGGGAATATTGAAAACAGCCGTAAGCTGTAACTGTATTGTATCATATAAATTGTTGCATTCGTAGGTATCTGCTAATCTAGATCTAGTTGAAGCAGTGCATTTTTTACGTAGATAGATACTACTTATTAGTGCATACTACCGAAGATGTGTTTTATATAGACTTAGCAAAGATATGTAATTGTTGAATTAACTAATTATTTCATGATTTATTCATGGGGATAGCTTGATAACAGACTCAGCAATTTTCGTCAACGTCATAACTATGAAATGAGGATTTTCAAGCTTTCCAGTCTGCATGTTGCGGTCTGATTAGTAGTATGAGTTTTGATCATTAATAATTTTTGCGAGGAATTGTTACCCCAACCTAGTTTTTCGTACGTCCATGGCGATGCTATCAGCTTGCATGTACTTTCCTCTGAAGGCCACGTGGGTTCTCATCTGTTGGGTATACACAAGGTGAATATTTTTCAACTTGGTTTATTTCATTGACAAGACTATGAATCCTGAAAAGTTTAGACATGGTTTTGCAACTGTACTGTTGTAATATGTAAATCAATATTTCACATGCATAATGTATATTTTGTTTATCGTATATATTTAAATTGATTATTTTGAATATTGTTTGTCATTGAGTCCAAACTAATCAAATCAATCTTTGCTTGAAAGTTTTTTGCATACCACACCACTAAGAATGTGTTTTTTTTTTAATATGATACAACCAGTGAATTTTTTATCACAGGATGTCACGTACCAAGGATGAGTACATTCATGACAATACTCATTAATTTCCACCAACATCGTCACTGAAAAGAGAATTATCAAGCTTTCCGGGTTGTTTTGATGAGTAGTTTCCAAGTTATGGTCATTAATAATATCAGTGAGTTGCTTGCTATGCTAACCTAGTTCTGTTATTCAAGGACAACTTAAATAACTTAATATCTTTTGTTATTAATAAAATAAAGAAAACTTAAATGATTTTTGTTGCTTAAAATTAAATATATTTATCCTTTTATTATTGTATTATAAGGCATCTTCAATAAAAATAATTTATGAGTTATTTTTTATCTTAAAAATGTAAAAAAATATTTATGTCACATCATTTTTAAATAATTTATTATTGATTTTATTTTATTAGAAGTTTTCTTAATAAATTTTAAAAAAATCATTCTCTCTTAATCTTTTTTTTTTCATTTATTTTAATTTACTTTTTTTAAGTTATTTAATAAAACAAATATAAAAAAAATTAAATGTTTATTATGTCACGTAATATTTTTTTAAAGAAAATTTATTTTAAATAATTAATATTTTATTTAAATAACTTAATATACATCTTCTATTAAATATACTCTAAGAAATAACGGAATATAATTAGAGTTGCATGAGTTATTTTTTATCTTAAAAAATATAAAAAAAATATTTATGTTATATCATTTTTAAATAATTTATTATTAATTTTATTTTATTATAAGTTTTCTTAATAAATTTTAAAAATTTCTTTCTCTCCTATTCTTTTTCTTCATTTATTATAATTTACTTATTTTTTTAAGTTATTTTATAAAATATTTATAAAAAACTTAAATATTTATTATGTCATGTAATATTTTTTAATGAAAAATTATTTTAAACAATTAATATTTTATTTAAATAACTTAATATACATTTCCTATTAGATATGGTATAAGAAATAATGGAATAATTAGAGTTGCATGAGTTATTTTTTATCTTTTATCTTGAAAAATGTTAAAAAAAATATTTATATCACATCATTTTTAAACAATTTATTATTGATTTTATTTTATTAGAAGTTTTCTTAATAAATTTTAAAAATTTCTTTCTCTCTTATTCTTTTTCTTCATTTATTTTAATTTACTTATTTTTGTTAAGTTATTTAATAAAACAATTATAAAAAAAATTTAAATATTTATTATGTCACGTAATATTTTTTAATGAAAGATTATTTTAAACAATTAATATTTTATTTAAATAACTTAATATACATCTCCTATTAGATATGGTCTAAGAAATAATGGAATAATTAGCGTGGATTTAGCAACACCCTAAGGATGCATTGTGTTTATTTAGCAACACCCCAAGGATGCATATGTTTTTATGAAGATTTAATCTCCAAAGGGGAACCAAAAAGAAAAGTAATCCCCACGATATTGTTATCTACAAAAATGTCAGGGTCCTCCTTGGAAAAGTGTTTTATTTTATACATTTTTCATAAATGATTACACAAATGCTGTTTTTATATTATTCTATGATTTTAAAATTATGTATAAACAAGAAAAGAGAATTTTTATTTTTTTTATTTTCTATATAAATTTTCAAATATAAATAAAAAAACAAGAAAGTATCTAATTATTATTTATGAAAATAAGAAATGAAATGTTTTCTAAAATCAAATAAGTAAATGACAAGTTATATATTTATTTTTATGAAAATACATTTAGGTAAGAAAATGGTACCTTAATTTAAGGTTGAAAATTTTACTGTTGATCTTAAAGAAATAGACATAACCTATTACTTGATATCTATATGATAAGCGTGTAAGCATGTACTCCCACTGTAAATTAGTCTCTAAATTTTTTTTGGTATTGTTCAAAAGTATAAAATTCCACAATTTTTACGGAACAGCAAATGTTATTGTAGAAAAAAATTATAAATAGTTGTTAGATATTTGTAATTTTTAACAATTTGAAGACTTTCTACTATTTTAAAAAATAATATTAATAAGCCCATTAAATTTCTCTTGTTCAGACTGAGTCATGAAGAGTGTTGGAACTTCCATGTAACTCCATCCTAAGGTTATCAAACTTAAAATTTTGCGTAAAATTGTAGTTTTTCAATGGACTTGATGATAAATTTATAAGAGTTTGTTTAAAACAAATTCTAATATTAAAAGAACGTAACATGCTAGCACAATTAATTAAGTATTTCAACTACGCTAAAAACAAATTAACAAATCACAGTAACATAAGTGGGATCTTATATTAATACTACATAGATCAAATAGCATAAATGACATTATGTATAAATTTTTAAAACAAGTTTCTGAAGAAAAAATATTGAAAAATATTTTAATTTCGTCAAATAGTTAGCAAAATCCTCATATTGCAGAGTCCATGAGGAGGCAAATATTACATATAATTTCAATACCATGAACTTGCTTGATTCAATAATTCATGCAATAATTTATAAAGTTTATAAATGAATTTATTTTTTCCGTTTAGAAATGTAAACTCAGAAGAATCTACAAATCAACGAGAATGTTCGACAACAACGTCAATTCTGTTTCAAAATAAGTTACATTTGTTTCAAAATGACTTTCGTGAAAAAACTTTAATGTAACTTATTTTCTGTTATTGTTTTTATCACATTAATAATATAAGACAATTGAAATAATAAATTTAATGTTTCATTGAAAATTTAACACAGTATTAGTATGATTTTTGCGTGTTAAATCATCCTTTCTCTTGAAATTCTAGAACAAATAACTACCCCATATCGATGTACTCCAGAACGAAATTGATCCTCTCCAGGCATGTATCTCTGCAGATACTGTCCTGCAAAATCCTAGTCACTTATAATTGTAACAGTAATTAAAGACTGTGATTGAAGGAAGATATTTTGCTGAACAGAAAATCCTGCTAGAGATGCAGTAGAGGATACATGATATACAATGTAATGGTGTTGCACTTCTGCTCGTTATAGAGACAATTTATTTCTCTAGTTTTTAGCCTTTTTGTTGCAGTAAGTGACACGTTACAAGAGTGGAAATGTTGAAGCAATCCCCAGTCAAAAGCGCATACCTAAAAAACAGAATCCTAGTTAAGTAGTAGCTAAGCTTACACATTTGAATATGCTGATCAGAGAATCCAATGACCATTGCCAGTGGTAAAGTCAGTAGGCTTACAATCTGGCCCAGACCATGAAAAACCTAATATTGATCACTATCTAACCCCAATCCTGACTTTTGTTTTCAGACGCTCCACACAAGCACAGCTGCAATGAAAGGTGATGTTGATATAGCCACAAGTTGAAAGCGAGCACTTCACAACTCCAGCTATCTGAAACATGGATCAAAATAGTTCAAGAGAAAAATGGTTCAAACTTCCTTGATTACTTGGAATAAATGGTGAAAGAATATTGTTCAGCTCACTGAATTGGCCAGTCTTCATTTCACAAATGGCACCCCTGACACCACTCCTCGGGCGTATTCCTCATATTGTCTTCCAAAAAACTGTCTCAAAAAGAATTCTTCATAAGGTATTCGCTTAGCAAAAAAACGCCAGACAACAGCTGCAAATAGAATAGTCGATATGGGATTGCAGAGCATTATTTGAGTGCCAACAGACCAAACCAGGAACCCACAGTACCCCGGATGACGAATATATCTATATATACCATGTGTAATCAGCTTGTGATTATCCTCGAGGTATATCTTTATAAGATGTGTAAAGGATTTCCCTGCCGTTACAATTCCTATCTTCCTTACAATTTCCCCAATCACAACAAGTGCCAGACCCAAATCACTGATCACCCAGTATTCCTTTATCTCAGGCACTAAAACAATCTCAACTATGTATTCCAGCAACGAAAAGATCATTGCCAAAACATAGTGTCTGCTAATCAAAAGAGACTTTATCGTAACATTTGATTTCCCATGAATGACAACTGCTAGCAAAAATTCAGAACTGTGAAAGAAGATAATTGCAAAGAGCATTTGAGATAACTGTCTGAAAGCTGTGTCGCTAACGATTTCTGTCATTTTTTTCAAATATAATCAATAAATATAGCTTGTTTGCAGTCTGGTTAGTTTCAATGTAATTTGATATGCCACAAAAAGACTTGGCTGATGAGGTACAAGTCAGACCTGAAAAAGATACTTTGTAATGTAAAATTAGTACTGGAAATTCTATTCCATCTTCAAGAAAATGCTTCAAGTAGGATATCTGTAAAAAAATAGATCAGGATAGATCAAAACAATAAAGTTAATTCTCAAGCAAACAGCTAAATCTAGGTTTGTTTCAATTAAAATAGGGCCTGTTCAGATAAACTCCTGCAAAAGCACTTGCATGAGAAAACTATAAAATAAAAACTGCATAATTTAAAAATCAACTTCTGGAGAAACTAGGGTGAGAACATTTACAAATTGTCTTATGCATATACTCATTTTAGTTTACAAAAGCTTTTTTTAACTTTTTTTTCTCCTACAGGTGTTTTTGGAGAAGTTTATGCAAAAATAAAGATACAGGTTCCAGGTTCAGAATACTTTCATGGTGTTTGGAGGACATTACCACAATCATAAATTTTAACAGAAGCAACCAAACCTTATTCCACAAGGAGGGGTTGCCTACACAGATCAAACAACAACACAGGATTCTATCAAAAATCATTTTTTCAACAAATGTCATGTAATAATAGCCAATTACAATCACCGATAAAAGAAAAGGACTACTCTCTATAAAGAGCCCAAACAACTTAGAACTTCGTCAAATATTCATGACGAGCTAAATAAATTAGCTTTCAAAATTCAGTAGCCCTAATTTATACTTTTACGTCATTCCTTCAGTATTTAAATCAACGGTGCCTAGATGTTAACAGGGATTATCTTTTAAAAAATAATCATGATGATGATACATGTCATGAATTCACCAAAAATGCACACGCCAATTATCAACACGATTACAGCATTTCGACAATAGGTGAATGAATAAAATAAAATAAAATAATTCATAATCACTGTATAACGAACACCGTAGACCGTTCCCAGTTCCCAGAATTATAGTTTATTGAAATACATAAGAAAAAAAAAAAGTACCAATCTAAGAACCTAAAAAGTATCGAAAAAACAAAAGAATATAGAAAGAAAATCCAACAGGAATTTGGTATAAAAATCGAAGCTTTCAGATTCTTACCGTGTCGGAATTGTTCGAATCGCAACTTTGTAAAAATATGATTGACCTTGGCATGTGGGGGAGGATTGGAGCCAAATAACTGTGGAAAACCCTATTCAGGAACAAGAACATGATTACACAAGCTAAATTGTCATACCATTTATTTAGAAATAGCTTTCTTTTTTTGTATTTTCTTATCCATTTTTTCCTAATATAACACTTGAAATCTTTGTCATATCTTAAATGTCTAAGAGTAATCTTTCCAAAAAAAAAAAAAAAAATTTTAAACACACACACACACATATATATATATATATATATATATATATATAGTATTTATTTAAAAAATATAAACATTAATGAGTTAATTTTAAATTTACTAGCATATAAAAATATAATTTTACTAAAATTAAGAAACATAATTAAATATATTTTTATTCAATTACCATATAGCGGTCTTTTAATTGGTGCCCTATACCTTTATTCCTGGTAGGCCTTTAGGCAAGAGGGCTTTTGGATACTTCTTTTGGGCCTCTTCTTTCATTGTTAGCCCATTCTTCTTACATCTCATAATTTCTCACTGCACCCCCGTATTATTTTAAAAAATAATAATATTTTTGTTAGTTGTATAAAATTCGAAAGCATACTTTAAATTAGAAAATCCAAATAAATTTTGTATAAATTAATTCATAAATATATAATATTTTTAAGTTTTAGATTAAGAAATCTGAAAAATAATGTTATCATTCCAAAAAAACAAAATCCAAACAGTTAAAAAAAAATTAAAAAATGATTTTTTACATATATGATTTAAGGTTGACATTTATTTTAAAAAAATTCTTCTAAAAAATCATTCAGAATCTATTTCCTTTAAGATCGATATTATCTTTTAGATGAAATAAAAATGATATACTACAGTATAAAATGAATATGTCTTGATTGTTTTACTTTTCATCATTGTCGATACAATTGCTTCTTCCACCTCTACAATTTCGTTTTCACCTATATTATAATGACGAAAATGACATTTAAAATTTCTTATATTATCTGCAAAATATAATCTGAAATATAGATAAAAAACTTCCTGAGTACGTATTCTGAAATCATTTAAAAAAATTGATTTTGAAATAACAAATCCAAAATACATTTCAGAATACCTAATATGGAAGATAAGAATCACGAACTTGATCTCATTATCCTTAACTAAATTTTTAGTTAGAAAAAACGGTCTAAATCCAAATCATAATCGAAGTTAGTCAGTAATAACTAAACAATGTTTACACACAAAATTGCAGTAGCTACTCGTGATTCTCCATATCAAACAGCAGTTTCAACCATGATTCCTTGTCCTAATTCACTTCTGTTACATTACTTGGGTCCCTGGTTGAGTGTACGTTTAGTTCTTCCAATTGTAAGGTCTAAAATAGTTATTATTAGTTACAGATTACTTTATATGATAATATCTAATCAGATCATGTTATCATTTGAAGATTTTAAAAAGTGAATTTGAGGCTACAGATGAGGGTCACATTTTGACAGCACTAGGATCATTAAACTGCACTATCAGTTTCCAGTCGAAGATAATGTGATGAATTTATGCTTTGTTTCAGTGCATGCATGATAGGAATTAGAAAGAAGTCTCACAAAAAGTAAATTTTCAATGTATTGCGTGAGCACTTCTGTATTCAGTATAATTGAACTTTGACTGCTATAGGAATCAGAGCAAAAAATCCCTCTGGAAAACAGTAAACTTGTGGATATTTCTTCATCTGTGTTTATGGGGTTCAATAATTTCTTCCTTTGTGGTGTCCAACATGGCATAGAATTCAATTTCAAGTTCCTAACATGTGGAAAACAATATTTGCTGAACAAGTGCGTGGAACAAATTCAGTGACTGTAACACTTTATCTGATGTTAACATCAGCATGATTATCCTAATGGGGTTGTTACAAAGAAATTGAGCTTTCTATGACTCAAATTTATATTTATATATGATAGAATGTTGCAATCATGCTAGACCTATTATTTCATCACTCCACACTTAAGCCTAAAGATATGGTCTCAATGGAGTTTATGGTCTACATGCCATTCATAAATTTCACTACTTTCCGTTAACTTCACATCTTACACAACAGTGGGAGTTCCTTATATTAATGCCACAGTTCTTTCTTATATTTGGGTAGCTACATGTCACTTTTTGGTGGATAATTGGCCCTATCATTAATGTTATTATTACCAAGTTCTTTTTCTTTCCAATATTATAAATTCAAAGGGTTGGAATATCATAGAAACATGATCATACACGTAATTTTGAGGCCAGAATTGGAAGCATATATTTATATATTTACTAACTAGGATTATAAAGGTGTTATATTCCCGTCAAGGTCAATATATATAGACCTATAGAGTGTAAACCTGCCCTACATGGACATTGATATCTCTGTCCTATACCTAATACCCATAACTTTATAAGTAAGTTGTACTCAATATAGTGCATTCAATCACCATTTCACTTACATGGTATTTTTTTTTTTTTTTTACTGTTAGTTAATTAAATGTGAATATATCAATGTAACTATGAAAGAGACAACCTTTGCAAGTTGAAAATGGAATGACAGATGTAGGAAGTTGGAAAATTGAGGGCCTACTAGTGATTTAGGGTAAAGATGGGTGGGTGCACCATTCTTGGGTCATGGGTGAAGTAATTCCTTAGAACATTTGGAAAGTTGGTTTTCAGTTTTCTGCTATTACCACAGTTCATTGGTGGATATAACTTCCTCAAACAGAAACACTTTCTTCCACATTTAGGTGACTGCATCAAATCAGAACATCTGAACCAAGCAGGGAAAATGAAACTTTGTCCGTTTAGTTCAAGAGAATGTGTTATTTTCTCTTGATTTTTTTATTAATAATTGCAGAAGTGCAATTTTATTTTCTCTTTTGTTATCATTTGCAAATATTTAAATTATGAACGATGAAAACAACATTTGCTAACTAATTATATTTCCTTCAGATATGAAATGAAGTTTGATTTAACCACTAAATACGTGCATGAATCAACACATAATTGTGTCAATTTAATCCATAGTCTTAAATTTAAAACTACAAATAATATATATTAAATGAAGGAGTTGTATAATAGTTATTTTTATTCATTTCAATCAAGAATCTTCTATGTAGAAGATATTTGCAATGTTTAAAAAAAGTATTTGATTTGATGAAAATTTCTTAGGGGACAAGGAAGTTGGTGTTCTGTATTGGTAGGTCATGTCAATGTAAGGTTGATCCAATTGAAGTGCTAAAAATTATTCTCTCCTAAAAGCCAAAGAATCACTGTAGAGTTCTTAGTTGATCAACTGGCATGGATCTTTCAGCAGAAGCTTCACCATTTAAGCATTACCATCTACATTGACCTGATTTTGGGATTTGTTAATTAATTGGTTGGAATGAAAGAAGGAGGAAAGTTATAATTTGATATCCATTTGGTTGTTATGTTTGTTGATGAGTTATGTTCCTTGTTAGGAGAGACTAATGACAGAAGAAACTCCTATAATGATATTTCTCAAATTAGCATGCAAGTACATCAGAATTGAAGTTCTGGTACCACCAAAACCAATTCCATGTAGCAGCAAAGTTGCCACAGTTTATAAATAAAAAAGTAGGTAAAACAGGTGAACAGTCAATGATCTACTTTGTTCATGATCGAAGTTGAGACTTTCATATTTCTGTCATGCTCTTCCATGTGTTATCTATCTATCTATATATAATATACACGCCAATATAATTAATTGAACATAATCCAACATGGCAAAAATATCATACCTATATATTACCCTTCACAATAATACTACAATAACTTCATCAACTAGAA